AGTCCGGCTATGGAGCAAGGATCATCAAAGCCTCCTTCCAAACAAAGAAAGAGGGCATTTCAATGATATCCTATGTACCAACCGACGACTACAATGAAGACGTTAAAGACCGATCCTACGATAGGCCGCTGTCAATTGTCGAGAAGTGTCCAACAAAAAACTTGACCATTCTGATGGGAGACCTAAATGTCAAGGTCGGAATGGACAACACAGGATACGAAGACATCATGGGACGACATGGACTGGGAGAAAGGAACGAAAATGGTGAGACATTTGCAAACGTATTTGCCTTCAATAAACTGCTCATAGGTGGAACTATATTCCCACATAAGCGCATTCACAAAATCACATGGACTTCACCGGATCACACTAAACAGAACCAAATCGACCATATCTGCATCAACAAAATGTTCAGGAGGACAATGAAGGATGTGAGAACCAAGAGAGAAGCTGATATAGCATCAGATCATCACTTGCTGGTCGCCAAGATGAAATTGAAACTGAAGAAGCACTGGACAATGGGGCGGACAATATCACAAAAGTTCAATACGGCCTTTCTTCAGGATAGTGAAAACTCAACAAATTCAAAATAGCCCTCAGCAACAAGTTCCAGGCCTTTCGTGATCTACTCAATGGAGAAGGAACTACTGTGGAGAGCAACTGGAAGGGGATCAAAGAGGCAATCACTTCAACATGTCATGAGGTCCTGGGTCACAAGAAGCACGATCACAAGGAATGGATCACTGTTGATACACTGGATAAGATTCAAAAAAGGAGGAACAAAAAAGCAGCAATCAATACCAGTCGAACAAGAGCAGAAAAAGCCAAAGCACAAGCTGAATACGCAGAAGTAAACTAGCAAGTGAAGAGGAGCATTAGAACTGACAAACGTTAATATGTGAAAAATTTAGCAACGACGGCGGAAAAGGCTGCAATAGAAGTAAAAATGAGACAACTGTATGACATAACAAAGAAACTCTCTGGAAATCGCCGCAAACCAGAACGACCAGTGAAAAGCAAGGAAGGTGAGGTAATCACCAACATCTAAGAATAGCGAAACAGGTGGGTAGAACACTTCAAAGAACTCTTGAATCGACGAAGAAAGTAGCAGGGTAATATAGTAAACCAGAGAGACCAGTCAAGGACAAAGAAGGCAGGCCAATCACCGAAATTCAACAACAGCGGAACAAATGGGTAGAGTACTTCGAGGAACTCCTGAGTAGTTCGGCTCCAATGAATCCACCGGACATCGAAGCAGTACACACAGATCATCATGATTCCAAAGAAAGGAGATCTGAGCAAATGTGACAACTACAGAGGCATTACACTACTGTCAATACCAGGGAAGGTCTTCAACAGAGTGTTGCTCACCCGGATGAAAGATGCAGTAGATACCCAACTTCGAGATCAACAATCTGGATTCCGCAAGGATCGGTCGTGTACAGACCGAACTGCGACACTACAGATAATCGTCAAGCAATCAGTTTAGTGGAACTCGCCACTGTACATCAACTTCACTGACTATAAGAAGGCATTTAATAGTATAGACAAGAGATGGGAGAACGTTATGACAACTTTTTCGACACTATGGGGTTTCTGAGAAGATGATCAGCATTATCCGTCACTCATGCGATGGACCACAGTGCAAGGTCGTGCATGGAGGACAGCTGACAGATGCACTCCAAGTAAGGACCGGAGTCAGACAAGGCTGTCTATTCTCCCCTTTCTTCTTTCTTATGGTGGTTGACTGGATTATGAAGACCTGGACATCTGAGGGAAAGCACGGCATACAATTGACAGCTCAGAACCAATTAGACGATTTGAACTTTGCAGATGACCTAGCCCTCCTATCTCATACACATGAACAAATGCAGTTAAAGATAGCCATTGTAGCAGCAGTCTCTGCATCAGTAGGCTTCAACATAAACAGGGGGAAAACTAAGGTCCTCAAATTAAAAACGGAGAACACCAATCCAATCACTCTTGATGGCGAAACTCTGGAAGATTTGGAATACTTCACATACCTGTGATGCATCATCGATGAATAAGGAGGTTCAGATGCAGACGTAAAGGAGGGGATTGGCAAAGCAAGGGCCGCATTCCTACAGTTGGAGAACACATGGAACTCAAAACAACTTTCAACCAATATCAAAGTCAGGATCTTCAATACGAACGTCTAGACAGTTCTGCTGTACGGAGCTGAAACTTGGAGGACTACTACAACAACTATCATCAAGAAGGTACAAGTATTTATACATAGCTGTCTACGCAAGATACTCAACATCCATTGGTCGGATACCATCAGCAACAGCCTTCTGTAGAAGAGAACAAACCAGCTTCCAGCTGAAGAGGAAATTAGGAAAAGACGATGTAAATGGATAGGACATACACTATGCAAATCGTCAAACTGCATCACGAGACAAGCCCTAACTTAGAATCCTGAAGGAAGGTGGAAAAGAGGATGGCCAAAGAACACATTGTGTCAGGAAATAAAAGCAGACATGGAAAGGATGAATAACAACTGAAAAGGGCTGGGAAAGATTGCCCAGGACATGGTTGGATGGAGAGTGCTGGTGGGCAGCCTATGCTCCTCGACAAGCTGTAACAGGCGTAAGTAAGCAAGAAACCTTTACATGTCTGGGCAGCATCATTAATGAACAGAGTTGATCTGATATAGATGTGAAGGCGGGGATCGGCAAAGCAAAAGCAGCATATTTACAACTGAGGAACATCCGGAACTCAAAACAACTGTCAACCAACACCGAGGTCAGGATTTTCAATACAAATGTCAAGACAGTTCTACTGTATGGAACGGAAACCTGGAGAACGTCGAAGGTCAGCATCCAGAAGATACAGGTGTTTATTCAAAGTTGTCGACGCAAAATAATTCGGATTTGCTGGTCAGACACCCTCAGCAACAACTTAATGTGGGAGAGAACAAGCCAGATTGCAATGGAGGAAGAAATCAGAAGGAAGCCCTAGAATTGGATAGGACACACATTGAGGAAAGCACCCAACTTCGTCCCAAGGCAAGCCTTCACATGGAGGAGGAGCAAAGAACACATTACGTCGAGAAATGGACAAAGAAATGAGAAAAATGAACAAAAATAGGATAGAACTAGAAAGGAATGCTCATGACCGAGTGGGTTGGAGAATGCTTGTCGGTGGCCTTTGCTCGATTGGGGGTAACATGCGTAAGTAAGCAAGTAAGTAAGTAAGCAAGTAAGTAAGTAAGTAAGTAAGTACTAGAAGCAAACAATTGGACATAGGTAGTCATTAAAATGGTGGGGACTGAAAACATAGAAAACCCTGATGTCATCGTCAAGCATGTTTAACGTCAGAAGGGTAAAACAGTGTAATTCATTCGCTTGGTTTTTTACTTTGTAGGGCTGACCTACTAGACCTTAGGGGTAGTGGGATTATCCTGTACATGAAAAGACCCTAACCATACGAGCAGTTTGGAGAGTGACACACAACTCAGGTACATGTGAACTAGTGCTCTGACAGTTTAAATGAAAAACGGCAAGACATTTAACTAGTTTTGATGTGCCGCAGTCCAGAATGTATAGTGGATGACTTCTTCCTGAGTAAACTTAAATCTTAGTCAAACATGTAAAAACTTTAATGCGCTGTCTATAAATTGATGAAAAGTTGGTGAAAACTACAATAGCCATAGCTTTATTCTAGAACATAAGAAATCTCATTAGATAGGACTTACGAAATTCTTCGTCGGTTCTAGACTTAGTTTTCACACACGATGATGGTGTCAGTTAAGTAAGGTTCCTTCCATCCTTAGGGAGAAGTGACCTCACAGTCATATACAAGTTTGTGGTTGCTTCGCCAAAATGCAAGGTTCCGAAATCGGCTGTTCACTGTGGACTTTAATCGAGACGACATGCTAAAGGCACTTATCATTTTAGACTGGGAAAAATCAACGTAACCTGTTGAAATACACCTCAAAATCTTGAAACACACTGCAAAATACATTGCTGTATCTATAACTACAATATTCAATATGTCACCTGGCTGAGATGAGTAACTTACAGACTGGAAGGGTCTAATTATCAATCGATTTCATAAGACCACCTACACCAAGCTATAGACCTCTCCTAAAGTGGATCAGGGATTTCTTCTTCTATCGTAGACAGAAACTAAGGATAAATCCCAAATGTTCATCCCGTAAGTCATTACTTATCGGATCACTCCAAGGCGTTGTCCTAGGTCCTTTATTTTTCATACTGTAAGTAATTGAACTCCCAAGTATAGTTTATGTAAAAATCTGGCTAGAAATGACAGGATAAACTAATAACTTCGAAGCTAGATTGGATCTTTATGGTATTACAAAATGTAAGGATAACCATAGGTTGAGTACGGAAACATAGTACTCCCCCCCTCACTCCATAAGGACAAGGTCACTTTGGAGAGTATCCAACGGCGAGCCACGAAATCAGTTCGAGGACTCAAATCTAAGCCTTACGAAGAACGCCTCCGTTCACTAGACCTTTACCCACTAGAATATAGGCGTCTTAGAGGTGATTTACTAATGGCTTATAGTACTCTTAACACTTCTGGACATCCTCTTAAACACCTACTTAAGCTTAGTTCGAATAATAACCTAAGGGGTAACACCCAGAAACTGGAAACACAACATAGCAAAACGGAATGTAGACACAACTTCTACTCCTTAAGAGTTGTCAAAAGCTGGAATTCGCTGCCGGCCGAGCTAGTCCAAGCGACTTCTCAGGAGTCCTTCAAGAGGCAACTTGACCTATTCTTAAGGACCAAGGACAGCATCACATTATGATTTACCAATTTCTTTTCCTTTTTTATTGTTAACATACCTAGGTTCCTGCCTGGAGGATTTTGTGATCCCCTGCTACTAGACACGGAAGCCTGTTAAGCGAAAGCTTCTTCTATTCCGTCCACAACCATTTGAACCATTTGAATCCTACCCTTACTACTGAAGACTGAATGCGAAACACTCACACTGTATTTCTCCGCGTTTAATGAATGTGAAGGTCATATGGATGATTTGGATCTACCAAAAGATGCAAAATACAAAAGCTTTATTGCGCAAGTTGATAAGTCCCTCAAAAGTTTTGAATACTCTACGGAATGGGCTGACCTTATATCTGCTCTAGGACGGCTGATTAAAGTGAGTATTTTTTGCTCAAGGTCCTTAGTCTGAATTAACAGCTGGGTCATATTGGGCCATAATTTCCGTGCAATTTTTTAAAAAATCTCATGGAGTTTAGAAGCGTTTTACTCTAGTGAGTTCGTTGTTGATACGGTCTGTACACGGTCTCTGTTTGTTTTTTAGTAATATGCTCCGCTCGTGGCGTGGGCGAGATGTTCTCAGATGAATTTAATGAGTAGTTTGCTCTGCTCTCTTCCGCAGTTGTGAGACATAGCCGCTACAAATACAACATCTGTGGGTCGTAGGTATTTAGTCATAGGTACCTTTGAAGCGTTGAGCTCATCAGTCAGTCAGTAACGTAAAACTTCGTACGTACGTACATCAGTTCGAGTTGCCATTGCGCTCATATGTTGAGGCCAAAATGTAGGCACATGTATTACGTATGCCCAACTACATCTTACCTCAACGCGCGATGTTTGCTAATGTAGGAGTAGAGTGAGAAAAAATATAGGAGAAACCAAACCAAATTGTGATGTCGATTTGTAAAGTCGTTGGCTGTTGAGCTGAGGCATCTTAGTAAACATATGTTACTCGATCAGTGTCTGCAATTATCATGACTAGTGATTAGGGACGGGTTTCTAGGATAATAATCAACCACAATCTCAAAAGTATATTCACTATTTGTTTCCCTTCATTTGTGGAATTTTGAACCATTACAAAAATTCATGTTTTTTGAATCACTTCGTCTATACCTAATCTTATCTGCTGCCACTAAACAGTTAGCACGTCTGCTACTCTGGCACTCGGCTTGATAATTTCATATCGTACTGACGTGGTGCTTCGGCTTAAACCGACTCTCATGTTCCAGATCATACGACGCTTATCACTGACATACATACTGCTTACGCCTGTTACCCCTCGTAGAGGAGCATAAGCCGCTTATCAGCACTTTCCATCCAACCCTGTCCGGGACAACCCTTCCCAGCTGCTATTCATCATTTTGATGTCTGCTTTCAATTCTCGGTGGAGTGTGTTCCATGGCCTTCCTCTTTTCCTTTCCCCTTCAAGATTCCAAGTTAGGGCTTGCCTCATGCCGCAGTTTGATGATTTACACAATGTATGTCCCATTGATTCCCATTTCCTTTCTTGAATATTTTCCATGGTTTCGATAGAGATCCATTCCTTATGATGATAATTCTTGCGATCCAAAACCTCCTGACACATTGAAGTTAGTACTTCTTTGATCCATTTCCAGTTATCCTTCATAGTAGTTACTTTTTCTCTGAGTAGACCTAGTAAGGCTTGGAACCTTTTGTTGAGAACTATCTTGAACTCGTTGAGTTTGTCAGTATCTTGATGGAAGGCTGTGTTGAACCTTTGTAATTCTGCTTCCGTAGTTGTCCAGTGCTTCTTTAGATTCAATTTCATCTTGGCAGCCCACACGTGTTGATATGAAGCTATGTCAGCTCCTCTCCTGGTTCTCATATCTTCCATTTACCTTTTGGATTTTTTACTGATGCAAATATGGTCGATCTGATTCTGTGTAGTTTGATGCGGTTAGACTCATGAACTTTGTGTATGGGGAATATTGTGTCGTCCATAATCATTTTGTCGAATGCACATAAATTTGCAAATCTCTCCCCATTTTCGTTTCTCACCCAGTCCATGTCGTCCCATGATATCCTCATGTCCAACTTTAGCATTTAGATCTCTCATCAAGATGGTGAGGTCCTTTATTGGGTACTTCGCTATGATTGATTGCAGCCTCTCGTAGATCCAAACCTCCTTTACCCGGTCTTGGGACCGGCAGTAACCCTACAGACGATGTTATCATTGGTAGTGAAGAAAACCAAGTATTGGAAAGTTTATTTCAAAAAGTGAGGATGAATTTTCTGAGTAAAAGTACGAAATAATGAAGCCTTGGAGAAGGTAAAGATTTAATAGATCTGTCTCGCTGTGACCAATTCTGAACCATGTCACTAAACGTCCTCACTTATTACGCTTATCGTATGGGCTTACGACTAGGTAATTCGCACGTACCAACATGGCTCAAATCAACGGTCATTGATTTCATGGACTGATGTTATGTCTTGATTTGGGTGGCTTGGGTTTTCTTTTAACCTATTCATACTCTAGCCAACCTTTTGCATCAATGTAGGGTCTAGTTGATGATGCTTAATACATGTTCCAACCACAGCTGATAAAGGTTAACAGTCTCACTAACCAATTTGAATTTTTGTATAGTGCTTTGTGTCTAAACTAAGCATTTCTCATTCGTTCGTTTGGTGATACTTATCCCTTTCTGGTTTTTAACATTCTGTTTTGTTTTCCTTCTGATGGTTGTTAAAAATAACGTTTGGTGTAATGATATGTTTTCAATACTACCACGTGTTTCGGTAAACATACACCACCAACTTCCTCTTTACACAGAATTTCCCGTTGATTAGCTTTTTGCTTCGCAAAGTTTTTTCTATACATATGATGTACTTCAATCTCTGGGTATTAAAATTATCTACATATTTTAAATGTATGTAATATATGAATAAAAAATTGTGACAAACTAACTAGCAATGTTATTAATTACTATTGCCCATCCAGTTTACTTTTAACACTCATATACTTCGATTTTATTTTAAAAATGAATTGTAGGTCATTCAGTCAAATACAAAATGTGGTTACGTTCCTCGAAGTTTTGTTATTGGTAAACGTCTCGCCCAATGTCTTCATCCTGCTCTACCGGCTGGTGTTCATTGCAAAGCGTTAGAATGTTACGACGTAATTTTCCGCACTATTGGACCTGAACGTGTCGCCTATGATTTGTATGTTTATGGTCCAGGCTTGTTTGCGCTACTAGAGCCATCTGCTATGACGGTTAAGTCACCGCTGTTTGATATTTATGAAGAACACTTGCTTCCTCTTGGGAAATTGCTTCATCCATCATTTTTAGGACTCTTAAAGGTACAATGGGTTGTTCTTTTTTCCTCATTCCAATTAATGTCAATAGAACTGGCTCCGTTGTTGTTTTAGCTTTGTCCAATATAACTGCTTGGTTTGATTTTAAGCCTTCTAAATAATACAATATTCTTGATAGTCCTACAACAGTGCATTTTCCACCCGCTTTCGTGTACTACATATGAGTAGATATGTTTCATAAGTTTAAGTCATTCTCAATCAGATGACTATTCATCTCGATCCATCGGTATTAATATAATCTTGCATAGCTAAATAAAGTATTGCCAATGGTCATTATCATATGTATGGTGTGTCCTGGTGTTTTATATACGTTTCACATGTTTTGTAGTGTAAATACATATGCTTTTTATTCAAGGTCTCGTCTAAATACATAATTTAGTATTTAGCTTTATATTCGCTACTTACGACTTTGATTGCTTGACATCATGTCTTAGTGAACACAACCAAAAACAGTTGTCAAGTTTTAAACAGATTTTCTGTTATATATCACCACGACCATCTGTTATGGGACATAGTTTGGCTATTAAATTTTTTTTGCGCAAACTTATAAAGTCAGTCATCAAGTAATTTTCATAAGCTTAACTGCTCTTCAGTTACTTGTCTACGGTGCGATGAAATAATCACTTGGTACTATTTTTAGTAGTATTTATGGTTATGATTTTAGACGTTAATCGATATCACGTGTTTAATTCACCAATCAGATTTATGATTATAATTTTTCTATCTCGTGTCGACTATTTGATCTACACAGTAACCTCAGTCTAATGCAAGCTGAACTCCTATCGATCTGCTCTCCGTAAGCTCTTACACTCTGCCTTCAATGCCAGCTTCTGTTGTGTTATATTTCAAGCACACAAACATGCTGAGCCACATCACACCACTAATTAAAAAATTACTGTTGTACAGAAACAATCCAAACGTCGTTGTAAATAGGTTAGGCTGTAAATAATTGATTGGTAGTAAATTAGGTATAGTAACCTCTATAGTAATAATTAATGAGTTAAACGAAAGCTTACAGTAAATAAAGTATAGAGATTTAGTAATCCAGCTATTTACTAACTATACTATAAGAATATATATAATGATAATCTGTAAAATGGCTCCCGATGTTATCATTTCTTCAATCTTCGATTGATAAATTGTGATTGTGAATTCAAATAAATTCTACTTGGTTAAAACTAACTTTATGTAGCCCAAATTTAGTCGCAATATCTCTACCTTAGTCACTATCCTAACATATCTTTGAGGCTTGGTCGACGTCATTATCCGACCAACTTAAATTATCTGAAGTGACTGTTGCTTAGGTTCCTATCATGTCAGGTAGGTTGATTAAAAGTTAGGGTTTGAGAGGTTTTAAGTATCGAATTACGAGTCACAGGTTTAGAAATAGAGTCGCACAGTCAAGTGTACCAACACCAGTGATATTGCACAGTGTAGACATGTCGAGTCATCATGTTTTCGAAAATAAAGAATCACATAGTAAACTGAAATGTTAGTAGAACTATTAACGGGAAAGTAAAATCAAAATCAGTAAAGTCGATTGATATAAAATGCGAAGAATGTAGTCGGAAAACGGAGGTTAATGATCCAGTGGCATTTTAGGTGTATATGAAAATGTTGGTGACTAACCTGTTTTGATAACAGCTTAATGAATGACAGATCCTACTGACGTGATGACATCTCACAAAATTATGATATGATAGCACTCCTAAATTTGATAGTTTCAACACATATCATTTCACAGACAATGATAATTAATTACTAAACTTTTTTACCCGAAAAAATTAATGTAAGTGTTACTCATTCTGTTTTTTTTTAAATGATTGTTTGTTCATCTAGTTGGTCTGGGAATAAAGCCGGTCATGTTCATTATATGTGTTTACCTTCTTAGTGTACTTTTGATTTGAATATTAGTGCCATAACGTATAGGTATGTTATTAACCGCTGATATTGTTTTTCCAGGGCTTGCTACCGGGTTTGGAACCAGGCGCGGAATTCTCTGAACGTGGAAATCGAATGTTAGAAATGTTCAGTTCCTCTGTGGGATCTGCATTCTTTTATACGTGTTTGTGGGAGGTAATATGACTTTTTGCTTGTATGAGATGACATATCGCACTACATATTTTAAATTTCATCCTAATTGAAATGAAGTCTTACTCAGTGCCTTCTCGCAGCGGGTTTGTTGCTTGCGAAATTTAGAGAACGAAAGGTATTTTAGTGGCCAACAAATTCATCTTCCTAAACAGATCAGTTGCAGCTTCTGTTGCAATTAAGTGTCAAACCGAGCTAGATTCAGGGCTAGCTATCTGCCCACTAAAAAGTATAGATGAACATTAGTTTCAGTAGCATGACTGTGAAATCGGCGAGTAAAGTCGTTTACGGCTTCGCGAAACGTCGCGCTTATAACCGCTAGTTTTCTAGAGGCCCCTTATAACTCTCTGGGGCATGTCCGTCTACTCTGGGTAACCGCAAGTTTGATAATGGAGGTAGATTGTTACGTACTGTTGTAGTGTGTGCTACTCACGTCGACATAAGTAGTATATAGAGCTAGTCAGGAATAGAATATTTGGCAGCAGAAGGTTGAGAAGATCGAGGAGGGAAGAACGCGAACAGAAAGCAATGAGTATGGAAATGTAGGAACAATTAATGAACATTTTGTAAATAAAGTATTGGAATGTTTTTCTATTATATCAAGTAACTCGAATTTTGTGCTAAATATAATGGGTTGTCCTCATTTGTGTTCTGCTTCACTACACTGTAACTGAAGTTTGCGTAAGGACCGATAATCTTGGTGGTCTGAGCATGCTAACCGTTTGGAAGCAGCAGCTGCATCTAGTAACTGTCTGAACCTCTTTCAATTCATTCGAGTGACTGGCAGCTAGAAGTCTTGTGTAAGTGAAACAATATGTGAAAATTATATAACACCAATTAATAACATCTACGGACGTCTTGTGCTGTAGACAGAGTTTTTTGAGGAACAGTTCAGTTATTCTGTTGCTCCGGTGACATTAATCAGACTTTTTTTATCTTTCCTGGTTAGTGTCGACTGATCTACCTAACGATATGGAAGTTCACAAGGTACTCCATCTTTTGAAGCGCTACAAATCACCAAGCCTAGACAACTTACCTCCGACCTTTTTTAAAGACAGTGGCGACTTTCTGGTTATTGAATTGAGTTGTTTGCAAAGTTTTGAGAATTAGAGAGTGTTCCAACTTCCTGGGACGATTTAACAGTCGTCTCTATCTTTAAAAATAGTTTACGTTGCCTACTCAACAACTACCATAGAGTAAACTTACTTTCGAGTGCTTCCAAACTATTAGCTTCCATCATACTTCGTAGATTGTTCAAAATCTGGGAAGGATTGACTCACGAGGAGCAGGCTGATTTTCGTTCTGATCGAGAATGTATTAATCATATGTTCACCCTCCGCCAAATGTTAGAACACTATTATACTTACTACAGACCAACAATTGTAGTGTTTCTTGACATTAGTGCCTCCTTCGATTCATTGGACAGGATTGTTCTCTAGGATTGTCTATTGAAGAAGGGTGTGCCTGATAAACGTATTAACATCATGACGGTTCTATATACAAATACCTTAGGTAGAGTGAGGGCATACGACCACCTCTCTCCATTGTTCTATTGAAGTCATGCAATCCACACTTAATCAGTTGGTAATCGGTGTCTGTAGGTTTGACATGTGCTTTGCGCCTTACAAGTGCAAAGTACTTCTACAAAATTGAAAGGAACATTTACCTGAACTCACTCTTTGTAGTGAGCAGATAGGAAATTAGGAAAGGTCGTGTATCTCAGTAGCTGCGTAAATGCTGGTGATTACGTGAGAGATGAGATCAATTCACGTCTAGCGAAACCCAGGACGGCTTATGCCGAGCTGGGCCATCTTTGGCGCCTTCATGATGTTATTCCGGCTACAGCGTGTCAATGAGAGCAGTTTTGATCTATGCTTGTGAAACCTGGTCTTTTTGAGTTGATGTTAAATGGCTCTTTGTGTTTGATCATTGTTGTCTCCGAAGGTTCGCTGACATCCAGTGGCAACACTATGTTAGTAATGCAGGGATTCAGCAATGTATGTTCAATTGGCGTCACTATCTTGAAACATCAACTTTGGTGGCTTGGACGTGTACTAAGGATGTCGTCACAGCGAGTTCCACGTCGTACATTGTTTGCTGATTCTGGGACTAGTTTGAAAAAGTAGAGTTGATCAGTTTATGACATGTCGTGTTATGAAAGAAAGCTGTATATGAATGGCTTCTGTTGGTCCTTCACGAATACCTAGTCGGAGTCGTGTAGATAATTACGCACAGTGGCTTGAGATGTTATCAGACATGATCCAATATAGAAGACAATGGCAAACGTGTTATAAATGTCCTTTAATTTCCTCATTTAAGTGAAAGGAACTTTTATAAGTAAAAGAATGCTTTCTAGTTGTATTTTTCTTAACTGCTTCTCCCACTATTATTATTATCCTTCTCTTATACACTAAATTCTTTTCATTTCTCTTCATTTTATTATTATTATTATTCATTCTAATGCACTGATTGTTGTATTAATATAGTACCGTGCTATGTACTGCTATACTTCCGTGGAATAAGGCTATAGACGCGCTATCTTATGGGAGCATTTCATGAATGAGGATTGACTATCCCTACTCCACGGCATATCAGAATAACTGGGAAGCCTTTTGCTGCAGAGATTGTCACTTGGAATATATCATTGTGACAGATCAAGATTCATGTAGTTTGTTTTGTACTAGATTATTGGAAGCTGTCAATTGGCCATCATTATAATATTCTAGTTGTCACTAACTTTCATCAGAATTTTGATACAGCAAACGCTTTGAATAGAAAGCAATATCTTTTTTCCTTCACCATTGGTTGTAATTGAATTCTACCTACTACATATTTGTTGTTGTTCAGTTGACGGAATTCAGTCAGAACATAAAAATAGACATTGTGAAATGTGGGAAGTGTCAAAATTGGCTTTAATCTCAAGGCTAATATAGTTACAGGAAAAAAGAATATTTAAAGGTTTACCTACAAAATTGATTTTATAAAAGCTTCTTAAAATATACTAAAATTAGTAACAACATTGTTGATTATCCAGTTAGGTATACAACACTTGACCCGTTGGTTTACTAGAGCTATTTACTAGTTTTCTATTGAACAAGAATTAATCCATTCATATAATTGAAGAATATATGAAACTCAAAACAACTTTCAACCAATATCAAAGTCAGGATCTTCAATACGAACGTCTAGACAGTTCTGCTGTACGGAGCTGAAACTTGGAGGACTACTACAACAACTATCATCAAGAAGGTACAAGTATTTATACATAGCTGTCTACGCAAGATACTCAACATCCATTGGTCGGATACCATCAGCAACAGCCTTCTGTAGAAGAGAACAAACCAGCTTCCAGCTGAAGAGGAAATTAGGAAAAGACGATGTAAATGGATAGGACATACACTATGCAAATCGTCAAACTGCATCACGAGACAAGCCCTAACTTAGAATCCTGAAGGAAGGTGGAAAAGAGGATGGCCAAAGAACACATTGTGTCAGGAAATAAAAGCAGACATGGAAAGGATGAATAACAACTGAAAAGGGCTGGGAAAGATTGCCCAGGACATGGTTGGATGGAGAGTGCTGGTGGGCAGCCTATGCTCCTCGACAAGCTGTAACAGGCATAAGTAAGTAACGTGTGAAGATTATTCTGAAGAGTTAATCAATGTTCTCAGTTGGTCAAATCACTAATATTTTTATTCCAGTATACTTCCCTCTGTAATCCAGTTTTATTTTCTTCCCTTTAAAGCTTCTAATTCGATGTCCATCTATACGACAATATGGAATTTCATTTATACTCAATCATTTAAACAAACGTAAATCATTAGATAGTCAAAGTTATATTTATGGTTTAGATAAAAATATTCTTGTAAGTTAAACAAAATTTTCTAATTATTTGTTGTTTTGCTAGTTTTATGCTTGTATGTAGGTAGGTTTTGATGGAGTATTATTCTCTAAGCTAAATGGGTTTGGTCATGGAGCTTTCATCATTCTTCTGAACGACATTATCAGTACGAATTTCATAATAATTTTAATTTTTCATTATCAATAGGAAGTAAATAATTTCCATCTGGTACTTTAAAAGGTTTACTGATTATTTCTAGTTTTAAATTTGATAGTTATAAGAATGCTGACTTAGTGGTCTAGAGGTTAAGCGTTCACACATGAGACCTATAGATCCTGGGTTCGAATCTCGCGAGTTGGGATCGTGGATGGGCACTGTTGATGAGTCCCACAATAGGACGAAATGGCCGTCTAGTGCTTCCATGTTTTCCATCGTGGTCTAGCTTCAATTGATTCATGATCTCAATTATTAAAATTACTATAATATCCACAAAACCCCTTCTGATATAAGGATATCTGTTGAGTATACGTTACTTAACGAACTTGGTTCAAACCTATTATATTTTGTCTTCATTGAACTTGGAATTTAAATGAGAATAATTGTCTTTAGGTGTATACATTTTATGCATTAGACTGAATTCTTAGATGATTTTTCCCATACCAAAATGATCATTAGTATTTCGTCTAAAATATGCATGTTTTTCAAATGTTTTAGTGTTCATTAAAGAACACCTACTTATTAATACGAAATGCTCTCACATAGCCACGTACATACAACCACTGCCTTCTTGCGGCAAGGGTGTTTTTTTATGAAGTCGAGAGGACAAAAACTGAATGTCCGGCACTGGCTTTAACCGGGTTAATGGATATGGAGAATCCACCTAGGGGAGTTGGAATATCCTGATTCTAAAGCACTAATGTATATGGACTCCAGGATCCTAGGGGAACAAATGGCCTATGAACCTATTGTTGGTCACCGTCTACGAAGGGACTGCATCTCATGACGTTGTTCCACTGTCTTGTTGACCAGACCTTTAGGTCGAAGGTTCCAGATGTGGCCTCTTGATAAAATCACCTGCTTCAGTTTGAGCACCCGGACAGTATGTCAGCCCTCACACAAGTCGAATGATTTATGTGGTGCCTATGTATTTCATGCCTCCTTGTACCAATATTTATGCGCTTAAATAGAATAAGATAAATACTTATTAATAGATAAAATATCCCTGATAGAAAATATAAAGTATCTTGAGATGAAAGATTTGTTCAACGTACTGATAATATTAATAATACTAACCATTCAGTGTAAATATTTACTGTCTAATTTATCTTTTTATAGGTAGAGAGTTTATGTTGTCTATTCGGTGACAGTGTTCTACTAGTACAACGTGATGCCCTTGATTTTATTCTGTTAGCATTACCAATACATTTTTATTCGAAAACAACAGAGCGTAATCCATTTCAGTTTATCACTAACAAATCGTTAACAGTGAAAGATTTCGCTATGTTATGTACAGCTTCGTTGTCTATTTTACTACGTCGTGATGCATCTTTGAATCGTCGTTTATTTATTTGGCTTAAAGGTAGCCAGTCAGTTGAGGGAATGGTTGTGGATAGTTTAGATAACCCATTAATGACATGGGCAGACATAGTCATGGATAAAGTGGATGATAAACATGTATTGGTAAGTTATTTATAAAAGATTTGTATATATACATATATATATATCATACCAAGCTACCTCGGGGTGGATATCATTTCATGTTTGACTAGCACATTTTCTTGTTGCTTCCGGAAAAATTTTCATCATTAGGTTAGACTCTGAGGGGTCTTCTTACTGTAGCTTTTCTACGTCCAGTAAGTTGCGGATAGATGCGTGCCGGAACTATGGTATAATCCGAGCATCAACATGTACCCCAAAATGACCAGCAGTCTTCTGCCGAGCCTCTCCAACGATGAATGGTGGCAATGTGGTCTAATTGAGTCCATCGATGAGTCGATTGTGGGGGTCATCACGTCAGATGATGTTTCTCCCCACATTTAAAGTTGGTCCTTTTATAGAAATGAACGTTTATCTAATCATAGTTGCAGCAGACGGTCATCATTATCTGTCTGCTGAGATGCAACAACGCAACATCCGTCTAAGTGCCTTTCGGTTTGGTTTAGCCTACCTAATTAATCATTAAAATCACCCGCCACTATTACTATATCGAAACGTTTAGCTTTTTAATGGAGGTTGGATAGCTTCCTGTAGAATTCATCTTTAATTTCATCCGAGCTGCAGTCAGTGGACGAATATGCAGAGATAACGAAAATACAACGGCGTGTGTCTCTATCTTTTTGAGTTGTTACTATCCCGTTTAGTCGGACGGCGCACAAGTAACTGTCTACTGGAATCTAGTCTGAAAAAACCTGTTCTGCTTTTGAGCTTAATGCTATACCTACATCAGATATGCCACAGGAAGTAGCCGTGGGGTTCCCAGATACTTGGAACATAAATCGTGTTTTTTATTTTGACATGGCTAGGTAAAATGAATGACTCTAATTGGGTCCTGTACGCGCGTTTCGGAGACGCAACATACATCGATGACAGGATTCTAGAGTCGTAGCTAAAGAAACCTATTTCCCTATCTCACTCAAAGTTCGAATATTACTGTTGTCAGACCTCTGTGCGGTCAGTAATCAGCCCTCACCCTAGAGCGTTAGGTTGCTGCTTTTAGCTTTAACGTTCTCCAGCCGACTTGGCTGGCATGGCAGTACTTAAAGGAATATGTGTTCTGGCCAATAGTACTCGGTTGAGTCATTAAAATAAGCGAGTCGACCACCACGTCAAATTAGCGGCTGCGGTCAGGAAGTAATATCAGATGTGGTTGTCTCTTCATGTTACTATCATTACTGTTTATCAATAATCATTTATTATATTGATTTTAACAATTCCTGTATTATGCATGTCAATTAATTCAATATTTGTATAATAAGTCATATCTAAAAGTAGAATTTAAGCTTGCTATTTATGTTTTGTGTATTAAACAACCATTAAATGAGTTTAACTGTTTGTTTTTGTTTTCATTCCTTATGGTATTATTTAGGCATTAAATGATAAAAATGAAAATAATAGTCAACGTTATTTTAAATTATACTCACAAATAATTCTTACAGAAGCTGTACGTCGTTTAATCTATAATCCTACTTGTTTGCCTATTCCATGTCAATTCAATGAAAATCATTTGAATTTTTCTGCTAAATTCACATTTGGATCAGATTTATCTGCATTAGGTAAATTTTTATTCAGATTTTTTTAAAAAATTTTTTCATGAAAGAAATTATTCTTGTGCTATGTTTGAAGTGATTACGAGTTCACCTAGTCTGCGAACGGAACAAAGATTCTGTGACCAAAGACCAATAAGCTAGCTAGTCTGATACGTTCCAACCCCACTAACCAGAGAGAGAGAAGTCGAAGTTCGAACGGGGAAATATATTCCACAAGCAGCCATAAGCACGAATGATAACAACAGGCACAAATCAAACGTATATATACAGCATAAAACTGTCCCTGGGAAGCGTTACAAAATAGCATACTAAAAGATACAACGGACCAATAGCTTTTATGATTCTCCTGAGTAGGGAATATAACATGAAGGTGAAAAGAGTGTTTTTGGCGCGAAAACAAAGAAGTTCAAATTTTCAAAATAAAACTACAAAATTAAGGTATTTACCGAGTGAGTTCTGAGGATCTAACATCCCCAACATCTTGATAAAACAACAATAGAGAAATTCATATAATACTACTTCCTATTAGAGATTATGTTCATAAAGGGAATACAATCAGCATAGATTTTATTTGGTTTGATAAGTCACTGCATACGAAGGTCATAGGAATACTATTGGTTTGTAGGCTGAGACATGTTTTGTATCATTTGAAACCAAGAAGTTACGTTTCTCCTAATATGGAGTTGTGACAAACTTGTGGACGCTCATAAACAATGCACACTCACGTGTATGAAACAGTACCATTGGATTCTTCCCGCGTAGTTTCGATGTCAGCAGATTATTTATTTATTTATTTTAACACATAGATATTGGTACAATTAGGTACTAAATACATATGCGCCACACAAATCTCATTCGATATGTGTGAGGGCTGTGATACTGCTCGGGTGCCCAAACCGAAGCACGTGGTTTTCTTAGGGGGCCACATCTGGAACCTTCGACCTGAAGGTCTAATCCATAAGGCAGTGGAGCATCGTTAGGAGATGCAGTCCCATGGAAGCCGGTGACCAACAATAGGTTCATACGCCATTTGTTCCCGCAGGATACTGGAGCCTATGTGCACCATTAGTTTGGAATCCGGTTAAAGCGCCGGACATTCGCTTTTCGTCCTCTCATTTTCGTAAACAACACCCCCGCCACGAGAAGGCAGTGAGTATGACTTCCCTAGCAGGGGCTATATACGTGTGGCCACGTGAGAGCATTTGGAGAGGGAGAGCGAACTCTCCCCACTCTCGGCCGTACCAGGGCATTTGGGGGCCATATGTTAACCGTTTGGATGATCACTACCAAACTCATAGGATGTGGCACAGTTATCTGCTAGTTCATACTTCGCATTAATACAACAAAAGAAAATTAAGGTTGAAAGCAAGAGTTGAATTAATATAGCCACTTCTGATGGTGAACTAATGATACAGAGTATTGTTTGGAAACAATGATTGAAATCATGTGATGTAAATTGTGAAATAATCTCATTACTCATGATTCAATGGAAGATCGACGAAATCAAGGTTGAAGGTTGGGAGATTAAAAGTTTCATTCCTCAATTTTCAAATGTCAACCTCGTATTTTTTTACATGTATCTCATGTTTAAATTTCTATTGGAGTTAGAATTTATGCATAAAAGTTTTTCGCTCAGAATGAGAATCTACAACACCATAATCATAAACCTATTTATGTTTACTAATACAGTTAAGTAACCACTTTTTTTAATGAATCTATGTTTTGTAGGCAGTGTTCGTCAGAAATTGATCTCATTTGGTTTACTCCTGAAAACGAGGGAGTACTAGATGGCTGTTTCGTTCTGTTATAGAACCCCTCAACAGTGCGAACCCAATACTCCAAATGGTATCAAAGTCAGGACCTTCATGTCTTGCAAAAAAAACATAACACTTAACCATCAGAAATACTGAGCCAACGCTTGCCACAAGACATTAGGTTATTGGGTTTTTACTACTGAGGAATCCTATTCCAGAATGGAATAGTTATCTAGTACTCCTTGGTTTTCATTAGTAACCCAGATGAGGTTGATCTGAGGCGACTTATAACTACAAATTAAATCAATTTTCGCAAAATCTCGTTTATTTGTTTATTTCTTTCACCAATGTACCCTTAATCACCAATTAATATTTATTTCTAGTTATAGAACGAAGCATTTCCGAGCGTCCATTTCGTGTTTTAGTCGGTCTAACTGATCATCGAGATATAGCTCATGGACTTTTAGATAATTTATTATTAGATATAATGTGGTATACTTATGAAGGTTATTTAAAATTACGTTGGCAAACTACATGTTGTTTGATGAATTCAAACCAAATCAATAAATCATCACATCGTGATTCAACATTAACTATATCAGATTTAGTAAATCGACCAAGTTTATGTGATAAACAATTACCAAGTAATATGACAAATCTAATTAAAGATTATATTTTAATTCGTGATAGTGCAAAACCATCGAGTTTACGTAAGTTCTTTTTCTTCCTGCTATCTGTAATCTTCATATATCTGTTTGTGTAATATATACTTGAAGTTTTTTAAAATATTTTTCTCCATTTAGTATAAGGTGGAAAGACTGTTGGAGTTGTATGTAGGATGGTTGATAAGTCTCGATTACAAAATCTGCGAACGGAAGTCTTTTCTTAAGGGACTTGAAAAAGAAGGTAGATGAGTAGTGAAGTCATCTCGGCGTGGGAGCGTAATTGTGAACCCCAGGAGTCTGACCAGTCACTCACTCAGCAACAACGTAGAACTTCGTACGTTCATACATCAGTTCAAGTTGCCATACCACATTAGCACAGAGATTCAATTGTCTGATAATATACGGAATTTGTGCCAGTGAATTAAATGTTGTTAGGTGCTACTACCTCCCCTTACAGTTGAAAGTGTAACTTCCTCCTCGAACCTCATGCTTGCTGATCTCACTCTTACCAATATACAGCTAGCCTGTTTGATATGATAGAGCCTCAAAAAATGTGTTCCGCCCAATATAACTCGATTGGGCTTTCACCAGTCACCACATAAGAATGGCAGCTGTGGTCGAGCGATTGCCAATAAATATGTTATAATGAGTTGTAGTATCAGACATAGGGTTGTTTAGTACTTCTTTATAATCACTAATTTACCCAGTCACTATGTATCAAAATATCACAATGTACTTTTAACAGTGTGGTCATCATCTCATCAGCCCTTGTGGTCTGGTGTGTGACGAAACCTCAGCACGGATACAGAAGGCTCGACTAAGTTTTGCCAACTTGCGTCATTTATGGCGTAGGCGAGATATCCATTTATCAACCAAAGGACGTGTTTACTGCGCAGCAGTTCGTTCCGTCCTACTTTATGGCAGTGAAACGTGGCCGGTATGAGTGAAGGATATTTGTAGGCTACTAGTATTCGATCATAGATGTCTTCGAAGCATTACTCGTATATCACGGGACAACCAAGTAATTCAGTTGTTAGGAAATGTGTACTATGTAAGGATGGCGAATGAATTGATGAAGTAGTGGAGCTTCATCAGTTGAGATGTTACGTATGCCTACGTGTTACGTATGCCTAACCACGGCCTCTCTCGACGTGCGATGTTTTCTGGTATAGAAGTTGGTTGTAAGAAAGCTATGGGTGGTCAGACCAAAACGTGGCACAAATCCATGGAGTCACTGACAAGTGGACTGAGTCATGTTGTTAGGCACAAATTCCGTATATTATCAGACAATTGAATCGACAATTGTATCTCTGTGCTAATGTGGTATGGCAACTCAAACTGATGTACGTATGTACGAACGAAGTTCTATATTGTTGCTGACTGAGTGTGATCAATAATCAGTCTGAAAACAGTTATGCCATATTTTTATGTAAGTTTGCCATTTAATTCAATTTAACTTAACCATTAAGTTTCCAATCCAGATACCTTTCCTATGACATTAAATAATAACTCAAAGCCGACTTCATACATCTATACTTTACTGGGAATAAAACTTATAATCATCATCATCATCGTCTATTAATATACATTTTAAAATCGAGTAGTTTCTTTATCTATCTTTCTTTTTAAAAAAATATTCATGCTTTTCGTTTATTCCAGGAACAGATAATCAAGGTAGAAATTTAGAATATAATGGAACAACTTTAGTCGATAGAGAAGATTCATTACCTTCAAATGATTCAAATATCAATAAGATTTCAATACAACATTCTAATAATCATACAACTATTACTACTACTAATACTACTAATAATAATGTTGTTGATGAATTCTTACGTACATCACATTTATTTTTCAGTAATATAAGTAGTGAATTTTTATGGAAATTTATTGAAAATCAATTTACTGAGTTATTGAATTTATCATCAACCATAACAGTCAATACAATCGGATCAATGAATATACATCCTAATAAGATTATGTCATCATCATCATCATCATCCATTGAATATGATAATTGGCAACAATCATCATTGAAATTATCATTAATTCAATGGTGTTCTATAATAAATTTCTTTTTGAATTGTTTACCAATTGATTTGTATCCTAATGTTCGTAGTCTATATCTTCCACATTTAATTATTCATTTAACTAATTGTTTAGTTGAAAAACTTCGAGTTAATTGTAAACTACATTATCATGATCAATCTTTATTATCACAGGAAGGTAGTTTTTCAGAGTATAAATTAACATCTTTAGAATGGGCTAGTATAATCAATTGTTTAGATACGATTGTACATCATATTCGTGAGGTAGGTTTGTTAATTTAATGTTAGTTATTCCATTATATTTATTATTGTAGACAGATCTTACTTAGATGGTAGTTGGAGGTAGTCAATAGGAAACCCTGGACCCGGGTTTCGTACTACTTGGCACTCGTCAGCATGGTGTACCTGTAATCTTGAGGGAACTGGTGCTCCCTGGCGGATTCGACCTCGTATCACCAAGCTTCACAGTCAGAGACGTTACCACTGAGCTATCCGAGTCGTGACTAGCCTCCTGTAGGACTGAGATGTAATCACAATTGATTGATCACTGGGTGGTGATCAATGTCATGCTTGTCTAGTCAACAGGAAACCCTGGACTGGTAGCCACGTTGCGACATGATCGATAGCATTCGATCTGCACTAATAAGGACTAGACAAGCATGACATTGATCACCACCCAGTGATCAATCAATTGTGACAGATCTTACTTAATCTTAATATTGTTGTCAATATCTAGTCACAGCAGACACCATTATTTACATAATAATTCGTATCTTCATTCTGTTCACTGATCACCTATTTTCGACCCAAGTTTAACAAACATTCATTACTATATTCCATTCTGATCGATGCTACAAACAGTTGTTTGTTTATATAGAATAAGGTGGGACTGTAGTTCAAAAGAGTTGGTATGGAGTTAAATTCTGGGTAGTTATCGTTTCTTATGATTCTGTCAGTACACCGCTACATTCTTTAGCTTTCGGTTTCGGTTTGGTATTCCATTCCGACTAATTTAGTCTGAACTCCACCTGTGGCACCCCTATGGTTGCTGCCGGTCCCAAGACCGGGTAAAGGAGGAGTGTTGGGTATGGGGTTGGCAACCCCATCCCGTAGAAAACGACGTTGCAAAAAATACGGTAACAAGAACAAACAAATTAAACCATTTAAACTCTGCCTTCCTAGTTGAAGAAAGAGTTAATGATACCTCATGATGAAAGCCGAGATCCTCCGGAATTCATGACGACCATACCCCTTCTAACAACCAGACGAATAGTTAATATAGGTACATGGAATGTCCGAACAATGTGGGAGACCAGGAGTAGCAGTCAAATAGTTACGGCAATAAGGGGATACTTGACGGTGCTTGAAATCAGTGGAACCCATTTGATCTGAGCTGGACAGAAAAGATTAGATTCGGGACAGATGCTGCTGTACTCTGGTCACGAAGAAGAAAATACTCCACACACTCAGGGAGTTGCTCTGATGCTGTCCAATGAAGCGCTTATTTGGTAGGAATCTCATGGATCCAGAAAAGATCCAGCAAAGGGGGAAATCACAATGAATATTATCCAATGTTATACACTCACCAGTGGTAGCAGCGACGACAATAAAGATCAGTTCTCAGAAAGGCTGCAATCAACCATAGCAAAGTGCCTTATAAAAGACCTCACCATCTTGACAGGAGGTCTAAATGCCAAAGTCGGAAATGAGGATGTCATGGGACGACATGGTCTGGGTGAGAGAAACGAAAATGGGGAGAGATTTGCAAATTTATGTGCATTCAACAAACTGGTCATAGGCGGCACAATATTCCCCAACAGACTCATACACAAAGTTCATGAGTCCCACCGCATCAAACTACACAGAATCAGATCGACCATATTTGCATCAGTCAAAAATTCAAAAGGTGAATGGAAGATATGAGAACTAGGAGAGGAGCTGACATAGCTTCATATTAACACGTGTGGGTTGCCAAGATGAATTTGAAGCTAAAGAAGCACTGGACAACTACGGAAGCAGAATTACAAAGGTTCAACACAGCCTTCCATCAAGATACTGACAAATTTGACGAATTCAAGATAGTTCTCAACAAAAAGTTCCAAGCCTTACAAGATCTACTCAGGGAAAAAGAAACTACTATGAAGGATAACTGGAAATGGATCAAAGAAGTACTAACTTCAACGTGTCAGGAGGTTTTGGATCGCAAGAATTATCATCATAAGGAAGAGATCTCCATCGAAACCATGGAAAATATTCAAGAAAGGAAATGGGAATCAATAGGACATACATTGTGTAAATCATCAAACTGCGGCATGAGGCAAGCCCTAACTTGGAATCTTGAAGGGGAAAGGAAAAGAAGAAGGCCATGGAACACACTCCACCGCGAATTGAAAGCAGACATCCAAATGATGAATAGCAGCTGGGAAGGGTTGTCCCGGACAGGGTTGGATGGAAAGTGCTGATAAGCGGCTTATGCTCCTCTACGAGGGGTAACAGGCGTAAGCAGTATGTATGTCAGTGATAAGCGTCGTATGATCTGGAACATGAGAGTCGGTTTAAGCCGCCGCACCACGTCAGTACGATATGAAATTATCAAGCCGAATGCCAGAGTAGCAGACGTGCTAACAATTTAGTGGCAACAGATAAGATTAGGTATAGACGAAGTGATTTAAAAAACATGAATTTTTGTAATGGTTCAAAATTCGACAAATGAAGGGAAACAAATAGTGAATATACTTTTGAAATTGTGGTTGATTATTATCCTAGAAACCCGTCCCTAATCACTAGTCATGATAATTGCAGGCACTGATCGAGTAGGAAACATGAGACGGTTGTATGACACAACAAAGAAACTCGTCGGAAATTATGGCAAACCGGAACGACCAGTGAAAAGTAAGGAGGCAAAGTAATCACCAACATCTAAGAATAGCGAAACAGGTAGGTAGAACACTCCGAAGAACTCTTGAATCGACTAGCCCCACTAAAGCCACCCAACATCGAAGGAGCATCCACGGACCTCCCAATCGATGTTGGCCCACCAACAATTGAAGAGATCAGCATGGCCATCAGACAAATCAAGAGTGGCAAAGCAGCAGGACCAGACAGCATTCCAGCAGGGCTACTGAAAGCAGATGTAGCAGTAACTGCAACGATACTCCACATTCTGTTCAGCAAGATTTGACATGAAGAACAAGTACTAACAGACTGGAAAGAAGAACTTTTGACCAAAATATCAAAGAAGGGCGATCTCAGCAAGTGCGAGAACTACAGACACATCACTCTTTTCTCAATACCATGAAGAGTCTTCAACATGGTATTGTTAAACAGAATGAAGGACACCGTAGACGCCCAGCTTCGAGACCAACAGGCAGGATTCCGTAATGATCGATCGTGTACAGACCAAATCGCAACCCTACGGATCATTGTGAAACAATCAATTGAATGGAATTCATCAGTCTACATCAACTTGATTGACTATGAGTAAGCATTTGATAGCGTGGACAGGATAACACTATGGGAGATTCTTCGACACGGAATTCCTATGATGGATTAAACTGCAAAATCGTGCATGGAGGACAGTTGACAAAGTCGTTCGAAATGAAGACCGGTGTTAGGCAAGGTCGCTTACTCTCACCCTTTCTCTTTCTCCTGGTGATCGACTGCATCATGAAGACATCAACATCTGAGGGGAAGCATGGGATACAGTGGACAGCTGGAATGCAGCTGGAGGATCTAGATTTCGCAGATGATCTGGATCTTCTATCGTAAACGCAACAACAAATGCAGGAGAAGACGACCAACGTAGCAACAGTCACAGCATAGTAGGTCTCAATATACACAGAGGGAAAAGCGAGATTCTCCCATACAACACAGCATGCAGCAATCGAATCACACTTGAGGGCGAAGATTAGGAAGATGTAAAAACCTTTACATATTTGAGCAGCATCATTGATGAACACGGTGGATCTGATGCAGATGTGAAGGCGCGAATCGGCAATGCAAAATACTTCGGATCCGTTGGCCAGACACTATCAGCAATAACTTACTTTGGGAGAGAACAAAACAGATCCCAGCAGAGGAAGAAGTGCTGGAAGTGGATAGGACACACATTGAGGAGAGCACATAACTGCGTCACAAGACAAGCCCTCACGCGGAATCCTAAAGGTCAAAAGAAAGAGAGGAAGACCAAAAAACACATTACGTCGAGAAATGGAGACAGAAATGAGAAAAATGAACAAAAATTGGTTAGAACTAAAAAGGAAGGCCCAGGACAGAGTGGTTTGGAGTATGCTTGTCGGCGAACTGTTCTCCATTGGGATTAACAAGCGTAATTAAGTAAGTAAGTAAGCCTCTGCATCAGTAGGCCTCAACAGACATTTGGGAAGGAGCAATATCCTCAAATACAACACTAACACAATCACACTTGATGGAGAAGCTCTGGAATATATGTAATCTTTCACGTACCTGGGAATCATCATATATCAACATGAAATATCTGATGTAGGGGTAATGACGTTCAGCTTTGAGATTAAGATGTCGGATTCTGTAAGGATCGGTCGTGCAAAGACCGAATCGTGACACTACGGATCATCGTTAGACAATCAATCAACCTGAAAAGAACGTCAACATCATCCGTAATTCATACGACAGACTACACTGCAAAGTTGTGCTATATTTTAGTATACATATTACATAGTTGTTAAACAGTATATCATTGATTATTATTAATTATAAGTAATCAATTAATGGTTTTTAATTTCAATAATCTCATGCTGTGTTCATTTTTACTTTTATTATTGACAGTATGCAGTGACAATATTTGATCAGTTATCGAGTCCAGTCAATTTAAAACGTCAAGAGGAATTATTATTATCAAATAACAGTAATAATAATAATAATAATTGTGGTCAATATAATGAAATCAACAGTAATGATAGTATTGCTGATAGTCAGGATAATCAAATTTCTGAGGAATTAATGATGATTGCTAAAGCAGTTGGTCAATTTCGACGATTTCTTGGCATATTCTGTATTCATGTCTTAAATTTTTCACCAGTTAAAGTTAGTTTAATTTAAAAAATGTATTTTCATTATTCTTGTTTAATACGTTGAAATCCTTGTTGAGTAGTAATGATTTACACCCAGACAGGCCCCAAATACCCTGGTACGGCCGAGGGTGAGAAGAGTTAGCTCTTCTTCTCGAAATGCTCTCACACCTCCCCCCTTTAAAGTCCGTTGTGTAAGATTTTTTTCTTGGATCCACCTGAAGCTTGGGTGTCGCATTCCTCTTGCGGTCCATTACTCTCGAGGGTTGTACAGCTTTCTCTCTGCGTCGTTTGTCTTTTCGATATTCGCGCTCATGATGGTTCTTCTGAGATGAATCTACGAGCAATTGAAATGGAAGCCGGTTTTCTGTGACCACTGTACTATCATTTCTTTGCATTTGATTTATATGTCTTATGCATTTCCCGACATCTTTCCGGACTAGGTACAGCACATTTCCGATTCGATGTTCTATGACACCTGGTTCCCACTTCCTATTACCTTGATACGATCTGACAAGTACCTTTTCACCCACCTGGAAGCTACGATTGACCTTACGATTTTCATTCGTGGGTTTATTTGTCTTTCTGGGCGGCAACATACTGTTAAAAACTGTCCGGATTTTCCTTCCGAACATACACTCGGCCGGAGACTTTCCTTCTGGTACTGCCGGATTAGGGGTAACTCTGTAAGACATCAAGAACTTATTAATCACTTGTTCCGGGACACCCTCACCTCCCCCTTTGACCAGAGCTCTTTTAATTGTATCCACGAATCTTTCTGCCTGGCCATTCGACTGAGGATGGTATGGAGGAGATTGTAGATGCAATATGCCATTCTCGTTGCAGAAGCGTTTGAAGGCAGATGACATAAACTGAGTACCATTGTCAGTCACTAAGATCTCTGGAACCCCAAAACAGGCAAACAATCCTGACAATCTTCTTATGGTACTCTCTGAAGTCGTATTCGGCATGTCATATACTTCCGGCCATTTTGTGAAAGCATCTACAACAACTAAGTAATTCCTGCCTTGTATCGGTCCGGCGAAATCAGCATGTACTCTTTGCCAAGGCCCGTCCGGTTTAGGCCATGGTTGTGGCTCAGCTCTCGTTGGATTCTTTGCAGCCTCTTGACAGGACCAACAGCTGCGACATTTTTGCTCTATCTCATGGTCCATTGACGGCCAGTATGCATAGCTACGAGCTAGTGACTTCATTTTACTTATCCCCGGATGCCCGCTGTGGAACTGTTTAATGACTTGGTGTCGAAGATTTCTGGGGATAACGATACGATGGCCAAACATTATACATGAATCGACAACTGTTAATGACTCTCGTCGATGAAAGTATTGTAAGAGTTCTCCGTGTAATCTAGATGAAAGCCATTTATTGAGTATGCAATGGCGAACAATCTTCTTGCTGGCCTCTTTAATGGCTTCAAATGTGACCGGGAGTCCGGAAACTGCGTCTGACAATATTTTGTGAACCTCGGCCTCGACATCTATAGCAGCTACAAGCACCTCTTCTTCTTGTTTTTCATGCAGACCAATCAATCTTGAGAGTGCATCTGCCTGTCCGAAATCCGTTGTTGGTTGATAATTTATCTTGAAATCATAACCCAGCAGTGTGGTAGCCCATTTCTGTAGTCGGTTTGTTGTATATACCGGGATGCCTTTTTTTAGATCCAAAAACTATCAGTAAAGGTTTATGGTCTGTAAGTAAGGTGAACTGCCGACCAAACAACATCTTGTGGAACTTTTTTACAGCAAATATAATCGCGAGGGCTTCTTTTTCTATTTGACTGTAGTTTCTTTCAGTCATAGTCAGAGATCTCGCAGCGTGAGCGATTGCTTTCTCAGAACCGTCAGGGTAGGCATGTGAAATTACTGCTCCAATTCCGTAGTTCGACGCATCTGCTGCGACTATAATTGGATGATCGGGATCATAGTGTGTAAGGAGAAGATTCGATGATAGAAACTGCTTCAGTTTTAGGAATGCTTCTTGGCATTCAGTTGACCAGAACCATTTAGTATCCTTTTTCAATAAGCAATTAAGAGGAGCACGATGGCGATGCAGATCTGGCAGAAAAACTCCATAATGACTAACCATTCCCAAGAAAGAACGTAAAGTTGACACATCCGTCGGTGGAGGCATGGACTTAATGGCTTCGACATTTTCAGGATCAGGTTTTCTCCCGTTTTTATCAATTATGAATCCCAAATACCGGACTTGCTCCATGTAAAAATCACATTTTTCGGCACGCAGCCTGAATCCATAATCTGCTATGCGTCTGAGAACCGTATCCACCTTATTCTCTAAATCAGCATAGTCTGTACCCATGATCAATATATCATCGAGATAAGCCGCGGTACCAGGAATGTCTTGTAACATAGTGTCCATAACTTGTTGGAAGATTGAAGGGGCAGTCTTTACTCCAAAAGGAAGTCGGTTATATCGGAACAATCCCTTGTGAGTGTTTATTGTCAAGTAATGCTTACACTCATCCGCTACCGGAATCTGTAGATAAGCGTTTGATAGGTCTAATTTCGCAAAATACTTACCCCCATTCAGTTTCGCAAATAAATCCTCTGGTACCGGCAATGGGTATTGATGGGCTTCAAGCGCTTCATTTAATCCAGTCGAATAATCTGCACATAACCGGATACTTCCATTAGGCTTTTTAACAATCACTATTGGAGCTGCCCAATCAGAAAAGTTTACTGGTTCGATTATTCCACTTCTTTGCAGACGCTCTAATTCTTGTTCAACAATAGGTAGTGCTGCATAGGGTACCGGACGTTTTGGTCTGAAGACGGGGGTGACTCCCGGTTTAAGAATCAATAGTGCTTTAACCTTTTTGCATTCCCCCAACTCTTCCGTAAACACTTAACTGTGTCTTTCCAATACAACACTTTTCAGATCCTTTTCCACCGGTTTACTGGTTCTCACTGCGCTGCATGTGTGGTTAATGGGGTGATTTGCTAATTGAAGTGCTTCTATCAAGTCTAGACCTAGCAAATCTAGTCCTGGATTCTGTGTAAGATATAAAGTTGCATTCGTTTTCGCATTTCCCTTCGAGACTGTACAACAAACCTCTCCAACAATATTTAGTTTTCCTCCAGATGCGCTGTGAGCTAACTGGGTTGTTGGGAGCACCTGTGGTTTACCGATAAGATTCCAAGTTCTCCGACTAATAAGTGTGATGTCAGAAGCGGTGTCGAGTTGCAGGCGGGCACGCTTTTTATTTATATCCAAGTTTACATACTTTCTTTGGCGGCAAATTCGTGCTCGATTATGTGATACCAATATTTTGTTAGTTCGAGCACTAAATCTGTATTTCTTCGAGTAGGGTTTCAAAGAATGTCGTTTATGGGTTCTTTTTCTGCAGCAGTTTCCTTTATGTCCCTTGCGATGACACTTGCTACAACAATGTTCTTTATATGGGCAGAACCTTTTATAATGCCAACCACCACAAGACCAACATGGAGATGAAGGCTGATTATCTGTGTGCGATGCCTTTCTTGAGCAAGAATCGTTCTTTCCGCTTACAGCACGAACGTATGGCAACTGGCCATTATTTTCGACCATCGAAGTGTCATGCTTTAGGTTCACCAATCTCTGGCACTCGGCGGTTACTTCTTGTAGTGTCATATTCGGACATTGTTCAATTTTACTCAAAATTCTAGTTCTAATATCGGCATCTTCGGGAGATTGGAGGCTGCACACAAATACGAGACACTTAAACTGGTCTTCTGTCATTGCTGATAGTTTGAAACGCTCACATTCACAGTTTACTAAACCCGCATGTTTCACCCAGTCATCATCGCCTGCTTTTGTCATCTTGAGACATTGATAACGAATATTAAACAAGGATGATTGTTCAGCAAAGATTTGCGACAAAATTTCAATCGTTGCATCAAAAGAAAAATCTCTTGGATTCTTTGGAAGGATAAAGTTACTGTAACGTTCATGTTCAACAGTTCCAAGTTTTCGCAAGAGTATTCTGACCTTAGCGGCGTCATCAAGTTTTTTGAGGTCGACCTTGAACAAATCTTCAAATTTCTTGAACCAAGTTTCAAAAGTAATGCCCGCTGAACCATCAAAATTAAATTCATGGATAGAATTAACAATCTGGTCAACATGAGATTTGAAGGGATCATCTGTAACTTCTTTTTGATCCAGGTTCATTTTCTGAGTTAGCATCTCTAACATGCGCATCTGGAACTGTTCTTGGCGTTCCAATAAGGCTTCAAATTGTTCCAAGGTAAATGACATATTGATACAATAACCCGTCGCCAGATGTTATAACTTGAAAAAGCTGATTTTTCTTGATACAACCGCGTATAACTGAGCACTAGGACAACAAACCCTTCCAAGTCGCAATAAGAAGAAAGAAGACTAACGAAAGGAATATTATTCCAAACAGTGTCAAACATAGTACAAATTGTCAGGTATTTATAGTTTTTAGTGAGAACGAAATCATCATTACAGTCTTCCAATCCGCGTACAGGGGGTTATTAGCATTATCCAATGGGGAAGCTACACGTTGGAATTCTAGAACATTCTTCCGAAAGGTGATTGGATGGAACGTCTTCGGCTCCTTATGAGCCTCTTACAGCTTCCTCGAGTTCACCGGTGGTCCGTCGTCACAATAGCCACGTGCGTACAACCACTGTCTGGGAAGTCCTACTCCACTGACTTCTCGCGGCAGGGGTGTTTTTTATGAAATTGAGAGGATGAAAAGCGAGTGTCCTCCACCGGCTTTAACCGGGTTGGTGGATATGGAGAATCCACCTAGGGAAGTGGGAAAACCCTGATTCTAAAGCAATGATGCACATGGACTCCAGGATCCTAGGGGAACAAATGGCCTATGAACCTATTGTTGGTCACCGGCTAAGAAGGGACTGCATCTCATAACGTTGCTCCACTGCCTTGTTGACCAGACCTTTAGGTCAAAGACTCCGAGTGTGGCCCCCTAGGAAAACGACCTGCTTCAGTTTGGGCACCCGAGCAGTATCCTAGCCCTCACGCAAATCGAATTATTAATGTGGTGCCTATGTATTTCATGCCTCCTTGTACCAATGTTTATGTGTTTAAATAAATACCATTTCAAATACGGAAAATAAAAATTCAATTTTCTAATTATTCTAGTCATAACGTCAGTTTGATTGTTTATTCTCACGTTATTTATGTTAATCACGTTACTGTATTTTGAATGACCTGTTGATAGTAGCATTTCTTGACAATCATTCAGGCGTTATATAATAGATATATTGCGTTAACTGTAGTCTCTGGGTCAACGATTTCGGTGTCTATTATACTAGTCAGTTCATCTTAGTCATTATTTCCGTGGAGTCAGTAAGCCAAAATCAGTTAACGAGAAATTTTGAATTTTCACTTTCGCCTCGTGTGATGTATGTTACTTATGTCGACAATCATAAGTGCTATATAACACTAATTGGAAGTGGAAAACCTGGAAGCAGAAGGCTAAAAAGATGAAGTTGAAGAGAATAAAACGGAATTGCGAATAGGAAGAATCGTACAGGATGTGAAGGACAAATGATGGAAATTAGCAAATGAAGTATTCAATTTATGGTTCTTATATTTTACCTAGACATTCTGTAATTATATATCAAAATACATTGGTTGTCCCCAGCTGTATTCTAGTTCACAACACTTGTCCGGACTGATCATCAACAATCTATCTGTCATCTGATTTCCATTTATATATTGCTTTTAGTCTCGGTTACTTACGCCTGTTACCGTCAATGGAGCATAGGCCACTGACAAGCATTCTCCAACCCACTCTGTCCCGGACCTTCCTTTCTAGTTCTATCCAATTGTTGTTCATTCTCCACATGCCTGTCTCCATTTCTCGGTGTAATGTGTTTTTTGGTCTCGGTGACAAACGTTTTTTTCTTAACGACTGATCTATTGATCACTTCCAATGCGTTTTTTTAAGTAAAGCACATGCCTCTCAATCTATTTAATGTCGTAGTCGTTTATAACTTTTGATCTAAATATTCTATTTTCCAAATTAAATCTTGAAAGGAAGATTTCATTTGATTTCGTGGAATCGTCCGTCGTATTGAATTAAATCACGTATGAATTGTCAGTCAAATGGAATATAATTCATTTATATTACATATCGTTTTTAGTATTCATTTGTATTGAAATTTTAAGGAGTATCATTCTATTCTAATTTATTATATTAAAATTAATATGCTTAATACAGTTCCTAGGTTTTATTCCATATGATTTATTAGATATCTTCTTCTAGATGGTGGTTAGAGGTAGTCAACAGGAAACCCTGGACCCGGGTTTCGTGCTACTTGGCACTCGTCAGCAAGGTGTACCTATAATCTTGAGGGAACTGGTGCTACCTGGCGGATTCGACCTCGTATCACCCAGCTTCACAGTCAGAGACGTTACCACTGAGCTATCCGAGTCGTGACTAGCCTCCTGTAGGACTGAGATGTAATCACAATTGATTGATCACTGGGTGGTGATCAATGTCATGCTTGTCTAGTCAACAGGAAACCCTGGACTGGTAGCCACGTTGCGACATGATCGATAGCATTCGATCTGCACTAATAAGGACTAGACAAGCATGACATTGATCACCACCCAGTGATCAATCAATTGTGATTACATCTCAGTCCTACAGGAGGTTAGTCACGACTCGGATAGCTTAGTGGTAACGTCTCTGACTGTGAAGCTGGGTGATACGAGATCGAATCCGCCAGGTAGCACCAGTTCCCTCAATACTATAGGTACACCTTGCTGACGAGTGCCAAGTAGCACGAAACCCGGGTCCAGGGTTTCCTGTTGACTACCTCCAACCACCATCTAAATCTCAATACATTGTGCCCGCAGTGTCGAGTCACCTAGACTGGTGGCCACATTGCAACATGATCGATAGCAGTCGATCTGCACTAATAAGGACTAGACAAGCATGACATTGATCACCACCCAGTGATCAATCAATTGTGATATCTTCTTCTAAGAAGTCTTTCATTGAGTCAAATCGACCATACAATGCTCCCTAGTTTTCAGTTGTTGTTTTACTTTTTTTGACTATTATTATTCTGGAATATGAACTATTTTTTGCATTTGATAGATACTACTTTTTATTTATCATTATTACGTTTTGTTTCCCCATTCATGCATAAATCAATCCCGATGAAGATGAATGAATTTCTTCGAAAAATTTGTACGGAACAATTTGAACATGATTCTAGTATCATTTCGAATGAAGGAGAAATAAACAAAATGAATGATAATAATGATAATAACAATGAAGACAAAGAAGGTGCTAAAGAAAAATCTCATGAAAAATCTGTATTGAAACATAATCATCAAGTGTTATTACCATCGTCTTCAGTCAGTTGTATAGATCTTTTTGCACAAATTTGCCGTCTTATTGTGGAGATGTCCAGTTTTCCTTTATCTATTATGCATCAATTTAAAAATTCATCAATGTCACCTAGAATAATTTCTACCAGTAATTCTGATCTTAGTATTTTAGATTTATTCGGTGGTGAACTTATACGTCATGCTGATACAGGTTAGTTGTTGTGAACTTCTGTGGATGATTTATGAGTTTTCCCAGCTATCAAATTGTATATATGTCTATGACCAAGAAGAAGTTTGGTCATTTAACTCTACTAACAATATGATAAATTAAAGTATTCGAATCCTTCCAGAACGCAATAATGGTGTTACTTCTTTGTCTGGCAACATATATATGAATGTTAGCATTATGTAATCACATCGTAGGATATATGAAACTGATTGTTTGAGTCCATACTCGAAAACCCCAATCATTAACAATACAAAAGTTTCAGAGGAACTGATATCAAAGTTGGGTTGGTTAGTCAACCAAATAAACTTAGTTTTATTAAGTAAAGTGCCATATTTTCCTGCAAAATATAAAATAAACATACAGTTTAAGGTAGTTTCATGTAGTGATATCTAAAGCTTATTGAGAATCTCATGATATTAGTAAATTTTCTTTTCATTACGGCAACACTGCTTGATATCGGTTACAGTCCTTATCATACTCCAGTGTATAATTGATTATTTCTTAAATTTTACTACTCAATTTGAAACTGGTCATGTTATATTCATCCAAAATGTATTGTCTATTGGTATGAGTTGTTTCTAGAATTGTAAATTTCATTCGGAAAATCCACGAAGTTTCTTGAATAGGTTTAAAGCATTTTATTATGGATCGGTTAAAGTGATACAGTTGTATTTGCTCTTTGATTTCATCTAAATCTTGCATAGCATATTTATTCGATACCTTCCAACCCTCCATGTTTATTTATATTCTTGTTTAATTTACAGAACCATATTTGTATGATAACTAGTTCATTTTGTACATCGCTAATATTTATATAGATTGGCTCTGCTTGTTCGTCGGTACGTAATGAAAGTATCTAGTCGGCTTAATTTTAAATGTATAAAAACTAAGTTTTGTTCACCTCAAACTTAATTTCTGTTTATCTCAATCCTGTAGTTTTCATTAGGCCAGGATAAAAACATGTATGGTTTGATTTGGCAAAAAGGTCGAAAAAATCTATTGAGTTATTGTCTTTCGGGTTTTACATAGTATTGTAGGCCTGCTGATGAAGACCGTTTTGATAGTACAAGGTAACTGGTTCGAATAGCTTAGAATAGATTTTACATTACTGAAGGTGTTACGACGCTCGCTACCTGCACTTAATCGAAAGCTTGATTTGTTCCTCTCTAGTCCGATTCTGCCAGTCGGTCTCTCGACGGGTTACTTAACTTAACCAATAAAACGTTTAAACCTGAACGAGTAACTTTGAACACTGACTTATGTATTTTACTGTCGTGGCTGTAACTTTATTCTTTACCTAGTTGTATTGTTTTGACAGTATGAATTAACACATTTCTACTTAGTTCTAATAGTTGAATTATTAGAGATAAGAAAAGTGGCTATGTATGCACATGTCACTTATGGATTTTACGAGGATTTCTCGACTTTTGTTTATTTAGAGTTACTTAAGGTACTACAAAGAAAGTAAATATTATTCGTTGTTTTTATTAAGAAATTATATAACTAACTTGGTCTACTTCATTTCTTAGAAATGAAATCCGTTTGTTTGGCCAAGCTTGTGAACACATCATTTGGAAATTTTCTGTTTAGCGTAGTATCCGCCTATCAATCAATCAGACGCAACGTAGAACTTGGTACATGTGAAAATGCGTTGAAGTTTCCATAACCCATCACTACATAGAGATGAAATTGTCAGGCTAAATCCTAGAATAGTAGAGGTCAGTCAGTCAGTCAGTCAGTTACAACGTAATAGGAATGATTAGACATCAAAGATACAATTCACGGAAATATAAATAAGTAAAGTGAAGGGATTGTGAGGAAATTAGGAACTTAGAGTCTAGGGGAAGATAGGGTCGATGGACCTGTGCTATTGCTAACGATTTCGAGTCATGGCGTCCAAAGTTTCTAAGTATTCGTTACGACATTCTCATGGACCCGTGTTAGTATGGCTTAGTTCAGTTATCAATAACTTAATGGACTAGTGCCGTGTTTTGGTTTGGCTGACATTAACTTTCTTCAAGCCTAATACGCCTACACCAAACAACATTGTCCGTCGACGTAGGCGGTTGGCAAACATACGTAACATATATTCCAACCACCTCAGTTGATGAAGATTTACTACCACGTCAATCGATTTACGATCCTTACCTTTTGCACGATTGCTAACCAAGGCCGTCGCTTACTCTGTGGTCCCAAAATACACAAGCGATGCTTCGAAGACACCATTTTGTCGAATAGTATTAACCTACGAATATCATCTATTTTAAATGACCATGCTTCACACCAATAAAGCAGAGCGAAGTTAACTTCTGTGTAGTGTAATAAACCTGTCCTTTAGTTGGGAGATGGATATTTGTGTAATTAACAACATTTATGAAGAATAAAACAGTGAGAAATGAAATGTTTTTCAATGATTTACCAGTCGAAAACATGATTTTAAATTGAATGAAAAGGAAATCATATCCTCTCTTTGTAATTGTCATTCGGATTAGTACTGTGCATGTCTTCTTCTTCTTACTTATTAACTTCAATGATAATCATAACGTTGCTCCATGGTAAACTTGTTTCGCTCAATTTCGTGGATTAGTTGAAGTTAGATATTAACACCATTGGATGCCGGCTCATTGATCTAGAGGTTAAGCGCTCGCGTGCAGGATTGTTAGGTTCTGGGTTCGAATCTCGCGAAATGGGATCGTGGATATGCACTGCTGAGGAGTCCCACAATAGAACGAAACGGCAGTCCAGTGCTTTCAGGTTTTCCATGATGGTCTAGCTTCAATTGACTCATTATCCCAACTATTCAAATTACTATAATATCCACAAGAAACCCCTTTCTGATATAATTCTAAATAGAAATATTGTATAGTTGTTTGTTTATTTAGAAGGCGTTCATAATTTTTTCTTTCTATCATGTGTCCTTTATCAATTTCGTTAAAAGCGTTTTGATTTTTGTAGTCTGTCACTTATTATTAGTACTATTACTACTATTACTACCATTACTATTATTATTATTATTAATTATTACAATATATTCTAATCGTGCTAAATAAACAATCATTCTGATCTATTATTCATTTCTCTCCAAAGCATTGTCTTTATAAAAGTCAATAAGTAATGTATTCGTTTTGTCTTACATTACAACCTTTATTTTAAGATCTATGTTACATGAACAAATGTAAATGTTGACTTTGGTTCACATGTGTACTAATTACTCAAATTTGTTAAAGATAATTTTCAGTTGTCCAATTCTGAATATTCGTAGAAATTGAAGTTTTAACAGTTTTTATTTACTCTTGTTTAGTCAATGACATCTTTGTAAGTGTTTAATAAATGATCATTTATTTTTATTTTCAACTTTATCCACCCACCCCCCTTACTGGATGGTACCGGAGATTTTTGCTTCGAATTACTTTTTCTCTTGCTATATCTCTTGATAATATGATCTTTGACGTTGTACAATCAGTCAGTCAGTCAGCTACAACGTAGGACCAGGCACATATATGCATCGGTCCAGGTTGCCATACCTCATTAGCACAGCAAGATGAACACCGGATTTATAGGAGTGGTTAGGTCAAAGGTGGTAATACATAGGGGAAAGATTGCATATAACGATACAGTACAGGAAGAAAGACTTAGTTAGTAGAAAGAAAGGTATGAAGTGATTTTAATCTCTTAGTTTAAGGGAAGACAGGGAGTGTATGCACCGACACCACTGTGATCGATTCTGAGCCATGTCACTAAGTCTCCAACCATCGGTTACGAAGGTCACGAGGACCCCAACCAAGTAGTCTGCATCTACCAACATGGCTCTGACCTGAAATTAGTGACTTTGTGAACTGATACCACGTTTTGGCTAGTTTGTCCGCCCCTAACTTTCTTCTTATCAACTCCAACACTAGTCAGTATTGCTTGTCGTGGTAATCGGTGTTCAGGCATACGTACCACGTGGCCCAATAATCTCAGTCGATGTACGTTGTACAATTGTTCGAATTGACTCAAAATTCGAGGTATTAATGATGCTTTCCATTTTTGTACTTTTCAAAATTCTGAACGAGATCGCAATAAGTTTCTGTACATTAATTCTATTGTATGCTATCCATATTTTAGTAATATATTAACTAGAATTGTGTCACATTCAGTTAGATTGTAATAAACAATTTTCTCTATATTATAAAATAAATTACACTTTTTACCGTCACGTAATCTATACTTGTGTTTAATGTTAAAAGACTGTGAGACCTCCCTAAGGTATGGACACCCGGGCAGTATCCCAATCTTCACACAAATCGAATAATTTATGTGGTGAATATCTATTTGGTGCCTCCTAGTACCAATATTTATGTGTTTAAGATTAAAAGACTAGTTATTATTGATTGGTAATTAACTTGAAAAATGGTTTCTTTTCTGCTAGTATAATAAACATATTAAATGAACTATATACTAGGAGAATTGTTTCCAGACATTAGAATGTAATCCTTTTATCATTTATGTACTCAGTTTTAAGCTGCATTTGTTGTTGTGATGTATGTCTGGTTTGATTCTCAGTCAGTTACATCGTAGGACCAGGTCCATATATGCATCAGTCCAAGTTGTCATACCTCATTAGCACAGCAAGACGAACGCCGGATTTATAGAAACTTGACTCTAGTTAAGTATATGTTATGATATTTTAAATGTACGAATAATTTCTTTCATAATAGTCAAAATAGATGAAAGTGGAAGACTTTTCATTGTAAATTAACTTGTGAGTTGTATTGTTTGTTCATTTAAGTTTTATTTACTGTGTTCTTCATGTATCATAATCAAGATTTGGCTTTATAATACCAAAATAAATAGAAACTTTTCATGAGTTCTTTTTACTGACACAATAGCCCCAAATGCCCTGGTACAGTCGAGAGTGAGAAAGAGTCAGCTCTCCCTCTCTAAATGCTCTCACATAGCCACATGCATACAACCACTGTCTGGGAAGTTCTACTCACTGACTTCTCGTGGCGAGGTCGTTATTTACGAAGTCGAGAGAACGAAAAGCGAATGTCCGGCATCGGCTTTAACCGGGTTGGTGAACACGCAGAGTCCACCTTGAGGAGTTGGAAAACCCCGATTCCAAACCAATGGTGTACATAGGCTGCAGTATCCTAAAGGAACAAATGGTGTATGAACCAATCGTTGGTCACCGGTTATCATGGGCAGTATCTCAGCCCTCGCATAAATCGAATGATTTATGTGGCGCATATGTATTTGGTGCCTCCTTGTACCAACGTCTGTGTATTTAAATAAATAAACTGACAGAATAATGTTAATGTTAATGTATTAATAGATAGAAAAATGTCAGTGTTTTCTAACATTTCCTGTCGTAATGTAAATCGTGTATTCAGAGTATAAATAATCTTATTACAGGTATATTATTGTATAGTTTTTGTAGTTAATGTTTTCTACAAGGTTATGCTGATTATAGTGATATGACAATACTACAGTTAAATTCAGTTTTTATTTTACATCTAATATTAAATATCATATTAATTTATCCATATTTATCTTTTATCTGTATTTCTATGCTAATGTGGCATGGCAACATGAACTGATGTACGTACGTATGTATGAAGTTCTATGTTGTTGACTGACTGACTGACTGATCGATTGTATCTGTACAGTTCTGTTGTATTTTACGCTTTTCGTTGATTTTTTATTCGAGTACTGTAAAGTAGTATGTGATATTTTGTAATATTTAGTTCGTATTTTTTATTCTTTCCTTATTAAGCACGTTTCTAACACTTTTTACCATTCCACTTTACATTTTTATAAACTGAAATAATTTGAGTAACTTTTTTAAAAAAAAACTCAACAGAAGGTGGTCATTAATTTCAACGTAGTTTTGAACTGTATTTCTCCATAAATAGAAGTCATACTGCTTATGTGTATAATGTCATGTAAGCCATCTGACTTGTCCGTAATGATTATTTCCTTCGACTCTCTGTATGTTCCATTATCTTACTTCATAAGCATTGTTGGTATTCAGCAGCAATATTATATAAGTTATCTTGATTTCGGACATAGTTCAGTGTTTCTTCAACTCTCGTCATCTTGAAACAGACTTAGGTAGGCTAATCATGTTTTAGGCTTTTTGTTGCATAGACTTCTATACTATGGAGTACTTACTGACTGTAGAATGTTATAGCGCTGTGATTTATTTATTTATTCGCTTAAATACATAAACATTGGTACAAGGATGCACCACATAAATAGTTCGATTTGTGTGAGGGCCGGGTTACTGCCTTGGTACCCAAACCGAATCAGGTGGTTTTCTTAGGGAGCCACACCCGGAGTCAACAAGGTAGTGGAACAACGTCAGGAGATGTAGTCCCGTGGTAGCCAGTGACCAACGATTGATTCATATGTCATTTGTTGCTTCAGGATACTGGAACCCATGTGCACCATTGGTTTGGAATCAGGGTTTTCCAATTCCCCTAGGTGAACTCAGTGACTTGGAACAGTATCTCATAGAGAAGGAATGCTACTTTTCTTCAGTGCATTTATTTTTTATTCCACAAATTTAGTGAGTATCGTTTGATTCACCGGTCTTTTTTCTTTAACATTTTGTAATGTATTGTTCTGTATTTCACTTTGATAACTAAAATATTTTTATTTAAAACAAGTTAGTACATTTATTATTGTTTTATGTATACCTCATTTATATAGGCTCTTTAGAAAAGAACTTTACCGCTGGTTCGCAGCAGCCTGTACTAAACAATTATCATTGTTATTTTCACTACAGTTTGGGTAATTGATTTGATCTTGAAACCGCGTTACTCTTTTTTAGTGTGCGTGCTAGATTGGATCCGCGTGTGTATATTATTGTACTTGATTAACCCATTATACCTATCGTTTTTTCAATAAATTTAGCACTAAGTATTTTTGAATAATAGCATCGGTTTGATGATACTTTTTTCCTCCCTTTGTCAGCTAACACAATGTTTTTTTAGTGAAATATCTGACGAGACTATAATTTATGGACGAACCAATCAGGTTTTAGATCACAAGTCTCGGATTTTAGCGCGCAATTCATCCACACATTTGGCTACATATCTGATGTTAGTTCAAAATGGAAACCCTATATCTAATTCCTAACCCTAACCATCAACTGCAAATCATAAATCTAATTTCCCACACTTTTTTATAACCTTCATTTAGTCCTAGTTGGTAGGTGGACATGCTCAAAGGTCGTCCATAAATTATAGTCTCACCAAATATCTTTTTTGTTCACTCATTCATGCTTTCGCTGATTTTCACTTTGTATCTAACTGATTCTGTATATCAAGTTCAGTGATGTATGTATTTGAGATGTTTTCTTGCACTACCACCATCATCATCATCTCCTGTGTTTGTTTGATGATCATATTTTCAATCATATCACCTTATCTGAAGTTTATTTTTGTATCCTCAGTATTTACTAGATATCATTTGGAATAAACGATTTCGTAGTGTGATTTTAACAAATCTTAATTTTACGTCGATTGATCATTGAACATTAGTGACTAATGCCATGTTTGTTTAGTGTCTCAATTCTATAGAGGTGGGATATCCGTTGATGACGCGAATTCAAATTGTGCATCGAGTATCAGTAGCTCCTTCAGAACGTTTAAACATCTTTTGTAGGTAAATACTAACTAGGATGAAACTTATGTCCTACATGGTTTATTGTCGGTTATCTTGACTAACATAACATCCAAATACAATTGACTGATAAAAGTTCTATGTAACATATTGATTAGGATTAAGGTTTAATTAGCTTAATATCTATAGGTTAGTTAATCATTATCGATTGAAATATGTGAACATTTATTCATCTTATCTTTGCACTCCATATTTTCCTCCTTTTCATCTTTCTTAGAAATGTAATCATGTACATGCTGTGCATATATATAGTTATGAATGCATCATATATATGTTATAGTAATTGCCTACGTCACTTTTATTGTTATCGATTGCTGATTATTGAACCTGAATTCAATCCGTATTCTCTCTCATCTTTGATCACAATCATTTCTTTTGTTGCTACGTTTTTGTTTTACTTTTATTTAAAATATCAATTGTATATTATTGTTGTTATTTCTTTCTTTTACCAGGTCGTTTCATTCTACCACAATGGCTTGTTTGTTTATTGTATGCATCATGTGATCTAGATAATTTCAATATTAAGTCAATTGCTTTGTATACACTGATTGAATTATTTCATGCAGCTGTTTCTATTCACGGTTGGAGTACAGAATTGAAGTATTATTCTAATGACATCAATACTAATAATAATAATAATAATAATAATAATAATAATAATAATAATAATAATAATAGTGCTGGACAGATCCATCCAGGAAACAATAATGAGAATGGTGATAAAGTACTTCCCATAGATGATAAACATGAAGCAAATCGTGGAATGCGTTTAGTATTTCCTGTGCTAAGTGGAGAATTGATGTCATATCTTTCTCAAAAGACAAATTTATTCATGGTATGTAAGCAAACTATATGTTAGTAAATTTTATTGATCATTTGATGTCTTGAGTTCAAATTCTATCCTGTTCAATTTTTTCATGATATTGAAGTAACGTTATTAGTTGTAAATCATAAGCTTATAGCTTAAAATTTATTATAATGATAAGTATATGGTTGATTAACTGAATTCTCTTTTTAATTTTACATCGCAGATTAGTCTTTGTGAGATAAACTGTAAAAAGCAGTAAGCAGTGAACATCTGTTTTGTGTTAGTGTAAAAAATTTCATCAGTATTTATCGATGATTATCTCATCGATAGTTGAAATCGGAACCTTAAATCCTCAGAGTGAGGCTTTAATCTTTAAATCATTCGATTTGGCTTATTGTAGAACTGGTATCCAATACTACTGGTGATATTTATTACACACTCGACGTTTGAAGTCCATTAATCATGTCTTCTTATTAAAATTTCAGTAATAACCTCCATTTTGGGGTGAAAATAAAATATTTCAATCGTTCAACCGGGACTGTTGTGAGATAGTAACTCACTGATGACAATGGTGAATCTGTCGCTCACTTTCGTGGATTAATTGAAGTTAGACATTAACGCCGTTGGATGCCGGCTGGCTCAGTGGTCTAGTGGTTAAGCGCTCACGCATGAAACTGATAGGTCCTGGGTCGGAACCCCGCGGGGCGGGATCGTAGATGCGCACTGCTGAGAAGTCCCACAATAGAATGAAACGGCTGTCCAATGCTTCCAGGTTTTCCATGGTGATGTAGCTTCAATAGACTCATGATTTCAACTATTCAAATTACTAAACATCCACAAAACCCCTTCTGATACTAAAATAAAATGTTTGAAATATATATCTCTAAAAATGAACCAGCATATTCAGTTATCGATTTTCATACTCATGACATAGTTGATTTATTCACATTTATATCGGAAATACTTGTGAAAAAGTACTCAGAAAAAAAAGCACAAGAACTTTATTCTATCCTAATACATAGACACTAAGTAGACGGTATATAATTTGAACTTTGATAATTTCCTTCATGTTACATTATCAAGAATAAGTGATATACTTAAAAATTATTTGGAATTCTAAGTAAATAATACAATAAGAGTATGTAGAAAGAGTTTAACTAGCACCCCTTTCATTGTTACCGCTAACCATATTTATAAATTTACGTGTACCTGCCAAAGCATCTACATCGGTCTAACAGAAAGAAGGGCATATTTTAAATTTTTTTGAACATGCTCCAAAAAAGCCTCAGAACAAGAAAAAGAAAGACTCTAAACAATGCAATCACGAAACATCTTCAATGTTCTGAAGTTTGCTGAAGCCGTTGCCATCAGGCATCAAAAACCTGACTTATGTGTTCAAAAAGAGATAATTATTAATCTTTCCTTGCCTTGGTGACAAATATTCCTTCGCTGTATCTTAATATTTTTTTCACTTTTTCTTTAAACCCTTTCTTCTATTTATTACATCATTGAGTTTTACTTCAGCTATCTTCAAAATTAATAATTTTATTTTATCAACTGTGCTCTACGTACTTTATTTCTACCAATGTTTACTCATTATGTAATCACTTGTTTCTGGCCGTTTGAACTGTTGTCACAATCAATGTTATAGAATGTTCTTTTACATAATGCATATATTTATAGTATTCAGTCTATTAGATTTATTTACACCCTTGCTATACTATACTACTATATCTTCAATATAACTTCCAACCAACCCCTCTCATGTCAGTAATTTAAACCCATTATATAATTATGATTTTAAATATCACAGGTTGTAAGCAGCTGACAAGAACCAAGCGAAATAAAATGAATTCATGCTATTCTGTTAGAATCTTTGTTCTTGATTTTTTCAAAATAATAACGGGAACTATGTGTACGAAAATCCCTCTTTAAGTCATATGGTATTTTACAAAGTGAGTGAGTGAGTAAGTGAGTGAGCGAGTGAGTGAGTGAGTGAGTGAGTGAGTGAGTGAGTGAGTGAGTGAGTGAGTGAGTGAGTGAGTGAGTGAGTGAGTGAGTGAGTGAGTGAGTGAGTGAGTGAGTGAGTGAGTGAGTGAGTGAGTGAGTGAGTGAGTGAGTGAGTGAGTGAGTGAGTGAGTGAGTGAGTGAGTGAGTGAGTGAGTGAGTGAGTGAGTGAGTGAGTGAGTGAGTGAGTGAGTGAGTGAGTGAGTGAGTGAGTGAGTGAGTGAGTGAGTGAGTGAGTGAGTGAGTGAGTGAGTGAGTGAGTGAGTGAGTGAGTGAGTGAGTGAGTGAGTGAGTGAGTGAGTGAGTGAGTGAGTGAGTGAGTGAGTGAGTGAGTGTACTAAAGATCTCAGTCACTAAGCATATAATTTAACACTAAACTGATCAACAATCAATGATTAGGTATCGGTCGATTGAAAATTATTCACAAAAAAATCTTAATATTGATGTAACCTATGCTTCAAATGAGCTGATATGTTAAAAGTAGATCAGCAAATAACGGTTACTATGTATACATGTGTAAATAAGTCTGTGTTTGTTGAAATTATCTGCGATTTTCATACCTGATTCTCAATACTTATTTGAACTCTTCAAAACTTCTATGACTATCGTTCAGTTCATCTTATTAATTTTCTAATTTTCTACAATTACTATATCATTCCATTTATGTTTATTTTGTCTATCTTACCTAGTCTTATTCACTTATGTGTATACATTATTGATAATCGTTGTCATTTCCATTCTTTCAGTCACCAATATCTATTATTTAATCTTATGTTATGTTCTAATTTGAGTGTGTTTATATACACCTGATGAGACGTTCTACTTTACGACTGCGAAACGTGGCCATTAAGAGTAGAAGATACTCGTAAGTTACTAGTATTTGATCACAGAAGTCTTGGAAATGTTGCCAGCATCTGCTGGAATCACTGTGCAAGTAATGGTGAGGTTAGACGCAAGGTATTAGGGAATGATGTTAGATCAGTTGATGAAGTTGTGAATATCGATCGACTGAGATGGTTGGGTCACGTACTACGTATGCCTGAACACCGATTATCACGACGCGCAATGCTGACTAGTGTTGGAGATGGTTGGAAGAATGTTAGGAGTGGCCAAACTAAAACGTGGCATCAGTCCTTGAAGTCACTAAGTTCTAGTCCTAGTCATGTTGGTAGATCCAGACTACTTGGTTGGTGTTCGCGCGACTATCGTAACCAATGGTTGGAGACTCTTGGTGACATGGCTCAGAATCGATCAAAATGGCCTAGGTGTATACACTCCCTGTCTTCCCTTAAACTGAGAGATTAAAATCGCTTCATATCTTTCTTTCTACGAACTGATTTGTTTCTGTACTATATCTTTATACATAATCTTTCTTTTATATATTACTACCATTGAAGTGACTACTTCTATGAATTTGGTGTTCATCTTATTATAGTAATGAGGTATGGCAACTTGGACCGATGCATATATGTACCTGGTCCTACGTTATATTTCACTGACTGACTGACACCTGATGAGAAACTACGAAATGAAATGAATTGATGTTATTCTAAATTAGTTTTTGTAATTAATTTATTCAATATGAGTTACCTTTTTTGATAAAAAAAGACTTACGTAATGAGCATCAGTAACTCTGTTGTAGAATATTCACCAACTGTTTTGATATGGCCAACTTTAAAGTTCTTTACAACTAGAATTATAGCTTTCTAAAAAACAATCCTCAACGTTTCTAGTGATTCTCCAAAAGATCATTTTGTGATTAGTTCTATTTCAATTTGTTGTTGAATAGTAATAGGATCCAGAACATACAATACACTGAATAAATTTACTTGCAACCCAATAGTATTGTTTCCTTAGTCACTTAAACTTAACAGTTTACACTAGTTTAAAGAATTTAGTTAATCATATGTTTATGTATATTTGTAAGATTTCGTAAGTGGTAAAGATTGGATTGTTAATTATGGAAGTTATATTGATCTAATCAAACTACTGTTATTTACGTATGTATGAAATAACTCATTCATTTGTTTATCTCAATTTAGTACTTGGGTGTTTCATTATGGCGTTATCTATCACCAGAATATTCTACTTATCATGATGATGCAACAAGTTTACTTGTTCGTCTACATCAATTAGCTCCTCCATTGCCAAAATCTCTTGCTTGTCAATTAACTCCCAGAATATCAGGAATCACATCTACTATCAGTTCTTGTATTGAAGGCTTCATTCTTTCTCAAATGCTTTCATCTGATTTAGATATTAAAATAGATGCACATTCACGTTTTATTTTACTGTGGCATTTATTGAGATACTATGGATCACGTGTTCAATCAAATATTCATCCATTGACAAACACTTCAACTAGTAATTCAGTTCATCAGTTTCCGGTTACTAAACGATCATTACATTCTTCAGTTCATGATTCTTTTAGACTAAGTGGTGTATCCAATTTCATAGCGGCTGTATCATGGAGACGTGCATTTCTTGGTTTGACTGGAGACAATAAAGTTGGCAACAGTGATTTATCATCTCCTGGTTTAGGTTTGTACGATATTCCTTTCTATAGGTAGGCTTAGTTTTTATTGGTTTTCATCTTGATCCCTATAGCTTTATCGATTTTATCAATGGTATTGCATTTTGAGTATACAACTTTCCTCTCAGTCGATGGGACTGGCTCGATCATCTGATATGACTTGTGTTGTTTTAGTTATTATGCCCATTTATGCTAGCCTAATATTTTATATTAGATTTTCACATAACTATGTATCTGATTATCGACAAATTCCGTCACTAGATTCTTTGTTGTGTCTATCGAGATACATCAGTGATCGAAATTGAACTGAAGTACTCAAAGAATTCTTGTTTTTTCAAGCTATTCCATTTGGCTTGCTATTACTTTTTTTCATATAAGTCAATTTTTTGTATGTATGAAGTTGTGTTAGCAGTTTTGGATTGTTAACCCTGTTCGACTTTGATTTCAACAGACATATTTCATCTTACTCCCGATGGGACATAAGCAGCCGAGCATTCCATGTGCCTAAATTAATAGTTGCTCTGGTTGTCAGAAGGGGCATCAGCCTCGTGACTTCTGAACCCGGCTTTCACCGTGAGGCGTCACAACTCTTCTAAATGAAGACCTTACTCCCAGGGTAGAATCTAAGTGATTTGAATTATTTTTTCTGGTTAGCGTTTTTTAGCGATTTAATTTTCTACGGAATGGGGTCTCCAACTTCATGCTCAACCCTCCTTCATCTGGGATTGGGACCGGCAGGAACCCCAGAGGGGCTTCAGGCGGAATTAAGTCCATTTCTGACCTATAAAATTGTAATTTGTTATACTGATTTTGATTTATTTTGGTTTTTTGTTGATCTATCATTTTATGTATTGTATATCATCAAAACTATGCTAATAACCATTTATCCAGTAGCATGAACGAAATATCTCACATCAGAAATGTTGTCTAAATTATATTTAGCTACACATTCCGAAAGTTTTTTGACGCGATCTCGTAGATGTTCCATTCATTATAATTTATCATGAACCTTCCATGATCTTCAGTTAGACGTTTAAGGCTATATGAAATATTTCGTAAAAATTTATTTCACTTTTGCTTGCGATTCGAAAACGTTTACTAAATTTCAAGATTTCCCGCACAAATTTAATCAAGGTTGTCACTTTTTGATGCTACTGTCAGTTAATCAATCATCGCCTGACCGTTGTTGCTGTCTTAACGTGGTGGTCGGGCTTGTCTACTATGATGAACCAACCGAGCTATACTGACTGGAACAACTGTTCCTCAAGGTCCTACCATGTCAGACAGGTCGGTTGATGAGCGGTAAGACTAAAAGCAACAAACCCAAGGTTCGAAGGCGAAGTCGTACTGCTGACTGTACAGAAGTGTGACAGCAGTAAGGTGTTTCCTTCAGACAACCAGCATAACGTCGATGCTGCCTTCCCACAAGGAGGGGTGGGGTTAGAAAAGGTCGACCCTAAAAATGCACACCCCAACTTATCGCACGGATATCCGTCTCTAGCCGTAAGGTCCCAACGGGGCTAACACGAAAATTGCTCACAAAACGGTCATGTGCGACCGACCTCAAACAGTTGTTTCTTGGGCACTGCGGTCACGCTCTCAGGTCACTAATAACACCTCGAATCCAATTTCCTTTTCAGGTACCTCCAGAAGAACCCCTCCACAGTGTGGACAACGGGGAAGTGATAACCGCCCGTATACCTCTAACAGTACTCAAGAGTGAATCAGTCATTCACACCTTATCAGATACTGCATTTATTATATTGTTACAGATTAGTGGTTAGTATGCTTGAACTCGAGTCAGTTAGTTTCAGGTTCCAATTCTCATAAATTCACTTCAATTATCTTCATTTCACTCTCAGTAGTTGATCAATATTACTAGTTATTATACACAATAGCATATGATTCAAAACCTATTATCAGATAATCTGTACTTGACAATTAAGTAATATTAAACATTTAACGAAACAAATCATATATATATATATAGATTGTCAGAGATCATAAACTAAACAAAATGTATGTATGTTACTGTAAGAACATGTTTTCATAGATGAACCATTTGTTTATTTAGTTGTGTATAACCTTCTATTGATGATTATTAAAATTTAATAGTTGATTGTTATTTAGAGTTGTGTAACTTGTTTGTTTTATTTTGTTTTCTCTGCTTTCTTACTTTCATATTCTCTTCATTTGTTCGTCTTCATCATGATCATCATCATCCTCATCAAATAATCAATAGATGTACATTACTCCTATTGGATAATTTAGATTATGATAATCCATTGGGTCCAATGAGGTCAATTGGTTTAACAAGTCTATCACAATTGAATCTAAATATCAATAAAAGACAAATAAATAAAAATGATCAAAATATTAATAACAATGAAGTATTTCATCAAATTGATCATTCAATTAATTATGGAAATTCTATACTAAGAGAACAATCTATTCTATGGATAGAGAAAGCTTTAAGAACTGGTCAAATAGATCGTTTGATTATACCAATTTTAGCTATATTATTACATCCTGGAACAGCTAGAATTAGTTTAAAATCCCATGTATTAAGACATTATTGTCAACAGATTAAAGTGTCAAAATCTAAGAAATTATTGAATGGTCCTTTAAAATCAGTTGATACAACAGGTAAGAAAATACAACATCGATCTATCTCGATTTATAATACGTATATAATAACCTTTATAGTTGTTCTATAATCATATTGACAAGGACATGAGTGAGGCCAACCGGATGTACGTAAGCATAAAATTACAGAACATCTTAGTAATTACTTCATTTGTAAACAGTTCATCCATTGTTTCAAACTTGACTGTTCCTTTTGCGAGTATCTGTCCATCATCTCAGATTTCATTGTTTGTGCATTTTTAGACCAATTGTTTTCTGTTCCCATCCTTTCCTTCTCAATCTTCTATTGAAATACATTCTATTCCTGACTATCGTTATACTGGATATAAGTAGCTCACACCATAAAAAACACTCATTTTAATATTATAAATGTGTAGAGATTTGTTTATTAAGCTAATAGGTACACTTCTTATACTACGTTTGATGATACTATTCTCAATGTTCAAAATATAAGTGAATGTATGGAATCTGAAAACTGCTATTTCTTAAGTATAATATAAACTAACCAACTTCTAATGTACTATCAATGATAGTGAAAAAGATTAAACTTAGAGGATATGAATTGGGTGGAACGGATAATTCACAAAACAGAAGGTATGAAGTAGTTTGTAACTGAATTTGTAAAGGAGAACAAAAATTGATTACCTCTGCTCAACTATTGACGATTTTGAGGTATGTCACGTGATGTCTTGAATCACAGGTTGCAATTATTGCGCGGACCCCAACTATGTATGTGGACTTACTAACACGGTTCATACTTATAATCAATCATTTCATGGCTGGTGACATGTTTTGGTTTGGTCACAACTAGCCTTCGTCTAACCTATCTTTATGCTACACAACATCACTCATCGAGATAGGGTGGTTACTTGGCATGTGTAAGTGGAAAGGTTTCTGTGAAGGAATACTGGAATTCAAGATTAAGGGGGAAACAAAAAGTAAATACGTCTGACCCTTCGTGAACAATTCTGTGCCATATTACCTAAATCTTCAACTACTGATCGTGGCTACCATGCGGACTCTAAAGAGGTAATCTCGTTCTGCTAACATAGATATTAAAAAAGACATATAGTTCTTTTTGTATTTGTTCTATTATCGGTTATGTTTTAAAGTATTTTCTTTCCATTTAGACATTGACTGTAAACCGCCTTCATATGAAGAAGTTGTTAATAAAATGAATACAACTAGTATTAATTCTGAAGTAAGTACTAGATGATTTTACCAAAGTTAATGAGACGAATCTCCGTTCTATGCAATATGTGACTTTTACCATAAAATAGTTTTGGCTTGTAACATGCTTATATGTCGATTATTAATTACTCTAACAGTTTTCCGGGTCATTATTTGGTTGATAAGTAGTGGGATGAATAAAGGATATCACTTAACTATGATTAAGTAATGGTTTGTCAGTCGGAAATAGACAGGCTCAATATTCGAAACCGTTTAAAGTTTAAGAATCAGTGAGATAACACGGGTTCAAGTCAATGATATTCACGTTGATACTATTACTCTATAATTTCTTTTGATTCCGGATCACTATTTCACTTATTATTCATATCAACCATTCTCTATTCAATTATTACTTTATTTTATAACCTTTACTTAACTCTTTTGGTTGATTCACATGTTATTCCTTTGATCCGACAGTGATATTGTGTCTTTTCCATTGGAATAGATATGCAAGCAAAATGTAAATATTCAGTAGACATTTCTATCGACCCGTTTGTTGCATATGTGATTGAATTTGTTAAGCGTTTGAATTTTTAGTTATTGTTTAATACATTAGTATTAATGTTTTGTGTTTTACTCAATTTAGTCTACTGTTTTATTGCTTACAAAATGGTGGCTTCATAAAGAAATATTATATATATGGTTGATTACACACATTTAGGTTGAAAATGATGTTACGACTATATGAATATTACTATTCTGATAAAGTTTTATTCTTTGAGCTGGATGGTTTGGTCGTGGAGCTTTCATCCTCCTTCCAAATAAGATCATCAGCGCAACCCTCAGGTATTCGAATTTCTCCACATGTGGTTCACAGCTTGTTCTGTACACCTCGATGTTGATTGGTTCTTGCTGATCAACATCGAGGTGTACAGAACAAGCTGTGAACCACATGTGGAGAAATTCGAACACTTCACTTCTACCTGAGGGTTGCGCTGATGATCTTATTTGGAAGGAGGATGAAAGCTCCACGACCAAACCATCCAGCTCAAAGAATAAAACTCTATCAAAACAAACATATTTATGGTCGAACTGTTTGTAATTCAACTCTAATTATGGCAGATTCTGAATAGTCATGTGAACAATCAAAAATTTATTTTATGTTTATTATAACCAAAAGAATAGTCATTTCAGTCTTTTCACATTATTATTCCACATTAGCTACATTTGACTTCCAGTTAAATATTTACTTCATACAGAATAAGTATGTTTTTCATTTGGGTCAGTATCAAACTGCATTGTCACCATGTACTTCATAAGAATGTCGTACATAAATTGTGCTTAGCCCCCAATGAAAACACAAACATTCTCATATACACTAAGTACTCTTTTTTTATTGATGATTTACAGGTATATAACTTCAATAAGCATTATCTTATCATCGTTTTATGAAAATTCTCTTTATTTCAGTTTCCACATATTAACACTGTTCACACAGAAACACCATTTAATCTAATGAATTCAATCCGTGAAAAGTTTCAACGATTTCATTCTACGACGGAATTACTAAATAAAACAGAAGTAACAAATGAAATAAATACTTCTAAACAACAAGCTGCTGAAGGTTAGCAATTACTTATTATTAGATTCCTGTTTGTCTGTAAGAATAGTGTAAAGTTTTAATCTGTTACTTTTGCTTTTAGTCTAGTCGGAATTCAAGGTTGTTTCTCAACAGAATTGAAAAGTGATCATGATCTGTGTTGATGTGCAATTTTTACGAGGGTTTAGTCGACCGATAAATAACAACAAGAAGCATAGTCATTTACCGCTGATCTGGCACATGCCAGTAATTCAGATCGACGTAATAGTCGTATTCTATGGTTGAAAACGTTGGATGACATGGGTCAAGGTTATATAGATTCTAATTTGTAGTATTATTTCATACTTTGTATTCCGGAAAATTATTCCCTGTTTGCGAACTATATTCTCTATGCCTATTCTTTTCCATAGTCATAGGTATTGCTATTGTTACAATTTGTTTATTGTACATCTTGCTGATTTCATCTTATTGAGCCGATGCGATGGACGGTGACTTCGGTCGATGAATATTGGTGCCGGATACTTTGTTGATAATCACTGATAGATTGGTTAGTATTCAACAAAGAAAAATATGACATTTTCAATTTCAGCAATTGACAAATAAATAAACATGATATTGTTTTTTTTCAGCCACTTCGTTTGACTAAAATTTCTTTCAGTCAGATAATTATCTTGGTGACGATAGTCAAAGTAATCGATACCATTTGTTTGAAAGTAGATTTGCATTGACTAGTAAAATCTGTTTTGAGGATCTCTCCCCTTGTTTGACTACTACTGCATCTGGTAAAAATTGTTTATTATTCATTCCTCTTCTCCTAAGACCATTTTTGGAGCTTTTAATATAAGTATCTGGAGACCCCACGGCTACTTCCTGTGGTATATCTAATGTAGGTATAGCATTAAGTTCAAAAGCAGAACAGGCTTTGTCAGACTAGATTCTAGTAGACAGTTACTTGTGCGCTGTCCGACTAAACGGGATAGTAACAACTCAAAAAGATAGAGACACACGCCGTTGTATTTTCGTTATCTCTGCATATTCGTCCACTGACTGCAGCTCGGATGAAATTAATGATGAATTCTACAGGAAGTTGTCCAACCTCCATTAAAAAGCTAAACGTTTCGATATAGTAATAGTGGCGGGTGATTTTAATGATTAATTAGGTAGGCTAAACCAAACCGAAAGGCACTTAGACGGATGTTGCGTTGTTGCATCTCAGCAGACAGATAATGATGACCGTCTGCTGCAACTATGCTTAAATAAACGTCCATTTCTATAAAAGGATGACTGTCGGTCATCCTACAGCACATGTTGATGCTCGGATTATACCCTAGTTCCAGCACGTATTTATCTGCGACTTACTGGATGTAGAAATGCCACGGCAAGGAAAGTTCTTCGTCTAGTCTTAGCAGTTAGACTAACTAAGATTCTAGCTTAAATCTGCGAACTGGACGTAATCCTATCTGACTGGTCTCGGAGATTGATCATTCCAGGCTATAATGAAGAACAAAAGCATTTTGTAGCAATCTCAGCAACAATGCGAGCGTGTTTGTTGTTCTGCGTACTCCTTCAAAACGCAAATGTTGCTTCAAGATTGGCTTTCGTCAGCGTCTGAGTTGACAATAGCGTGATAAATAATTGGGCATGTTGACTGGTTCGCTTATCTTGTGTCTCATCAGTCCCGATGGTTTAGTTCTAATTTAATGTTGTGAAGCATGGCCATTAATAATAGAGAATATTTGTAGGTTAGTAGTATTCGATCAATGGTATCTTCGAAGCATCGCTTGTGTATTTTGCGACCACAAATTAAGCAGTGGATTGTGTTAGTATTTGAGTACTAGGTTACGATGGGAAATCGATTGAAGAGGTAGTAAATCTTCACTAACTGTAGTGATTCAGACATCGATTACATTTACTCCCCTACCTTTCACTTCAACGGGTAACGTCTTCTGATGTGGTAGTCTGGAATAAGTCAGTGACAGTCAAACCAAAACACAACACCGGTATATGAATTCATTGACAATTCGATTGAGTCATGTTAATCGGTAAAGATTACCTGGTTGGGGGTCCATGTGATTTTCCCAACCAATTTGTAGGGACTTTAAATGACATGTCTCAAAATCGTTTGCAATGACACAGGTAAATGCGTTCTTTCTCTTATCCTCGAATTCTGAGATTCTAAACTCCTGATAACTTACTTTTGTATTTTATTTTACTTATTTATATTTTCTTCCCGCTGACACCATTACTACCTCTAGTGTTTTGGGATTCGGTCTGACAATTTTATTCTCTCTGTGCTAATACTAGGGTCTGGCAACTTGAACCAATGTACATACGTACCAGGCCCTACTCTATGACTGACTGATTGGTACATTGTTTCTTAGTTTCTTGAAATATGAAATGAAATAAGTCAATGGCTTGTTTTTAATAAATGGTTGTCGACTTTTCTTCTTTGCTCAATCGTAAATTCTTGATATTCCATAAAATAGTTGGAGATATCGTATTGTATTCAAACTTCAGGGATTGAATTCGACTGATTGGTATTTCTCGGATGATAATAATTGTTAAATACTGCTAAGGTTTAGTAAGTTTATTAGGGTGATTGTTTTAGTCTAAGGTAATTTACCTCTTAGGGGCAAATATGTTGTGAATCCTAAGTCAGTCGGTGATGTATAAATCATCTAATAACTATCTTTTACTATTAATCGAATCAGTTAAAAAATAACAATAATTGAATTTCCTTCTATCAAACTGATCATAAATTGTTTGAATTTACCTCACTGTTCTTTAATCCTATTATCCTAATCTTCGAACTTCAATCTGTTATCGGCATAAACACACATCAGTCGATCCAGTAGTGAACATAATTGTACTTCGGTTTTGGCTGGTTGGTCAATAATTCGCTGTATTATCTGTGAAGTTGATTTTTTTATGCGTCATTACTTCTGTCCCAGTGATTTATTTTTCACTTTTTCGTTTGTTTACTTAAATTGTTTTCTTTTCTCAGCTGTTCTCAACTCTGTCCTATCGATGCGTTTAATGAAAGATGAAAAAAATCATTCATTGTTAGATTATGTAACAGATTGGCATCATGGTATGTATATTAGATTTTACTTTCCATCATCTTTTGTTATTAATATTTCTATTCGAAGTTATATTGGATAATCTAAAATTCAACCACATAAATATTTTAAAATATTCAGTGATCTTTGACTTATTTTAATAGTTGAGTTCATGAGTCAATTGAAGCTAGACCACCATGGAAAACCTGGAAGTATTGGACGGTCGTTTCGTCCTTTTGTAGGACTCCTTATTAACGTACACCCACGATCCCGCGTCGTGAGATTCAGACCCAGGACCTATCGATCTCGCACGCAAACGCTTAACTATTAGACCACTGAGCCGGCTGGCATCCAACGGTATTAATGTCTAACTTCAACTAACCTTTTACTTAGACTACTACTACACAACATGATTTATCTTTAGGTTTTCTTCTGATCAAAATCTTTTTCTTTCATACTCCACCATGTAAATTACAGCAATCCTTAAATAGAATAATTTAAGTGATATATTTAGATTTAATTGTTTTTTTCTGTTTTGTTTTGTAAATGATAAGAAATTAATAAATGAAGACAACCGTTTGAGAAAACCTTTTTTACAAACTTTTTCTTTAACAGATTCTAGAACACTTTCAATGTTACCTGTCAATGAACATTTGTTAGTTTATCTACAAAATTATGATTCCAACCAAGTAAGTTTTCCGAATTTACAACAATTTAAAATAGGTACATACATTGAGTTCATTTGATTTATGAAGTTTGCTCGTCTTTTCAATGACTTTTTATTTGTCCTAGCTATACTATTTAATTATACTCAGTAGTATGAATTTTATCCCACCATTTATCTGACCTGTATGTCGTAGCTGGATGATATTTTTTTTCTCTCAGAAAATCACCTAGTTCCTTCTCATCCTCTTAGTTCTGTGTTTTAATTCGTTATTATACATAAGTCAATATTTCATTTCTTTCGTTTAATTCTCCTTCTAGTTACTTCTCTTCGGAAATTTATTTATTTATTTGAACACATATTGTTTCAAAAGGGCATGAGATACACATGCACCACACAATAATAACGGGAATGTGAAGAGATAAAGAATGTAAGGTGCGTATAAGAAAAAAGAAGTACAACAATGAACAAAATTTGGTGTATGATATTTAAATAATAATAATGAGAGAGACAGGTCAATTAGCAAAAGTGCAGCCACAGGGAATTCTTCCACTTAAAGAAGTTACGCCTTTTTTACGAAGAAAGTAAAGTTACAGCAGGACCACCACTGGCTTCTGTTCGAAGCCATACCTGATAACGTCTCCAGCCACTGTGTCACACCATCTCTAGGACCTCAATCAGGGAGTTGTGAAGGACCGATAGAAGCCAATCATGTACAGCTTTCTTTCATACCGCGACAACATGTCGTACACTGATCACCTCTCCGCATTTTCAAACCAGTTCCAGCATCGGCAAATAATGCACGACGTGGAATTCTCTGGGACGACATTCGTAGAACATGTCTAAACTACCGAATTCGATGTTCCAAAATTTACTTATTTATACTCATAAACATTGGTATAAGGAGGCACCAAATGGATATGCACCACATAAATCACTCGATTTGTGTGATGGCTGGGATACTACCTGGGTGCCCAAACCGAAGCAGATGGTTTCTCTAGGGGTCCACACCCGGAGCCTTCGACATGAAGGTCTGATCCACAAGGCAGTGGAGCAACGTAATGAGATGCAGTCCCATGGTAGCCGGTCACCAACGATTGGTTCATACGCCATTTGTTCATTCAGGAGCCCATGTGTACCATTGGTTTGGAGTTGATTTTTCCAACCCCCCTAGATGGATTCTCCGTATCCACCAATCCTGTTAAAGCCAGTGCCGAACATTCGGTTTTCGTCCTTTCAAATTCGTAGACAACAATAATGCCGCGAGAAGGCAGTGAGTAGGACTTCTGTGGCAGTAGTTTAATGCACGTGGCTATGTTAAAGCATTTCGAGAGGGAGAGCTGACACTCTCCGCTCTCGGTGTTTGGGGGCACCGATTGAATTATCGTCTCTGTGCCCGAACACACAATACTGAACCTCTGCATTACTAACATGGTATTACCACTGTATGTCAGCAATCCTTTGGAGACAACGATGATCAAACACAAAGAGTCGTCTTACATCCTCAAGTCGGAGAGACCAGGTTTCACAAGCATAGAGCTGAACTGCTTTCACCGACGCGTTGTAGATCCGACGTTTTACAGCCAGACTAACATCGAGAAGGTGCCAAAGATGGTCCAGATTAGCATAAGCCGCTCTGGCTTTCACTGTATGTGAGTTGATCTCATCGCTCACGCCACCACCAGCACCTACGCAGCTACTCAGAAACACGAATTTTTCGACTACCTCTATCTGCTCACTACCGCTGTAAGTGCAGGATCAGGGTCCTGCAAGTCTTGTAAAAGTACTTTGCACTTTGAAGGCGAGAAGCACATACCGTACCTACGAACACTGATTTCCAACTGATTAATTGCAGATTGCATAGCTTGGCTATTATCGCACAGTAAGACAATATCATCCGCATACTCAAGGTCAATATTTTTACCTCATTTGTTTAATTGTTCGTATTAATTAGATACCTATTTAGAGGCACCTGTTAACTGTAACATTTTCATGCTTTCTGTAAAAGGTAATTTAAAATGATGATTTCATGAATGAATGAATGAATGAAATACATTTTTGTAATATACAGTGTTGATAGAGCCATTTGTGTGTAGATATTGTTGAAGTTCTATTCTACTCAAGGAATGTTTTTTTTAAAAAGAAATATCAGATTATAAAGTATTTTTTTAAAATATTTATTCTTAACATATCCATCGTTAGCTTCTATTATTCTATCTATTTTAGGTGATTTATGCTTTCTCTCGTCTTCGAGCAATTCTATCTATAGCTCCTGCTTTATTTGTTCGTTCACTTGCATCATGTACAATCAATTCAATGTTTAGTTTCAATTTATATGGTTTAAAATTTATTGAACTTTTATCAAGACATCGTCGTTCTATGGCTGGTTGTAATTTTTTTTCTACTGTCAGTTCAGAAGAATTAAGTCAATCACAACAAAATTATACAAATTTATTGGAATTAATTATTGATTTATGTTTACAATATATGTGTAGTTATTTACCTTTTATTACAATGAAAACAATATCAACTATCAATACTACTATTGATGATGATGAGGAGGAGGATGATAACAATTGTACTAATTCATCTATGAATAACATGAATAAATGTTCCATTAAATTTGGTCATCGTTTCGGTTATTCTAAAAGTGAATTTCATGCTAATCAATTTGTACAGAATACAGCTGCAGAGATTTTAACATTGATTGTTGAAGTAAGCTGATTGAAATTCTAGAATAGTGTATTATTTTGTGATAGTTTATGTTGCTAACTGAACATAATTGATCTATTTATTTATTTATTTCAATACATAAATATTGGTAGAAGAGGGCACCAAATATATATGCGCCACACCATATTTGTGTGTGTGGGCTGTGATATTGCCCGGGTGCCCAGACCGAAGCAGGTGGTTTTCTTAGGGGGCCATACCCCGAGCCTTTGACCTGAAGGTCTGATCCACAAGGCAGTGGAGCTGCGTATGGAGATGTATTCCTACGGTAGCCGGTGACCAACGGTTGTTCCTTCGGGATACTGGAGCCCATGTGCACCATTGGTTTAAGATCCTGTTAAAGCGCCGGACATTCGCTTTTCGTCCTCTCATTTTCGTAAACAACACCCCCGCCATGAGGAGGCAGTGAGTAGGACTTCCCTGGTAGAGGCTGTATACGCGTGGCCGTATGAGAGCATTTCAAGAGGGATTGCGGGCCCACCCCACTCTCGGCCATACCACGGCATTTGGGGGCACATGATTGATCTACCTATCTCATAGGTTTTATTTTGTTGATAACTGATGCTTATTAATTTATCCTATTCGATGAAAATAATCCCTTGTAGTTTTTAAACAATCAATATTGGATAAACATACACATCATTTGAATAAATCTCTCGTTCTCTGTCTCAAAGATTTACTCGGATTTGAATCATAGTTTTATATAAAACCGATAAAAATGGAGGAATAATAGGAATTGAAGAGGAAGGTTGATTATGAATACAGTGGTCTTGGGCGCTGTTAGAGGTATGAGGGCGGTCATCACTTCCCGGTTGCCCACACCGTGGAAGGGTTCTTCTGGAGGTACCTGAAAAGGAAATTGGATTAGAAGTGGTCTCAGTGACCTGAGAGCGTGACCGCAGTGCCCAAGGGACAACTGCTTGAGGCCGGTCGCGCACGGCCTTTTCGTGGGAGGTTTTTGACGTGTTAGCTCCGTTCTTCAAAGGGCCTTACCGCCGGAGACGGAAATGCGTGAGGTAAGGTGAGGTGCGCATTTTTAGGGTCGACCTTTTCTAACCCCACCCCTCCTCGTGGGGAGGCAGCATCGCTGTCATGCTGGTTGTCTGAAGGAAACACCTTACTGCTGTCACACCTCTGTACAGTCGGTGGTACGACTTCGCCTTCGGACCTTAGGTTTGTTGCTTTTAGTCTTACCGCTCTTCAACCGATCTGTCTGACATGGTAGGACCTTGAGGAACGGTTGTTCCAGCCAGTATAGCTCGGTTGCTTCATCACGATAGGCAAGCCCGACCACCACGTCAAGGTAGCAACAACGGTCGGTGACATGGCTCAGAATCTATCACAATGTCGTCGATGTATACACTCCCTGTCTTCCCTTTAACTAAGAGATTAAAATCGCTTCATATCTTTCTTTCTACGAACCAATTCTTTCTTCTTGTACTATATCTCTATATGCAATCTATCTCTTACATATTACTACCTTTGACCTAACCACTGCTATGAATCCGGTGTTCATCTTGTTGTGCTGACGCGGTATGGCAACCTGGACCGATGCACATATGTGCCTGGTCCTACGTTGTAGATGACTGACTGACTGATAAAAATGAATAGTATATTTTGTACTTGCAATCAACTGGTCAAATGTTTTAATCTCTAAGATATTACCTACCATTCATTACACGTTCTTCAAAGTTCTATTATTGTTATCACCAGTTCAAATTTTTCTTAGAGTTGTGTCTGACTTTTGTAATTGGGACAGTTATGTTCAATATTTTTTTGGGTATTATTATTAGAATTCATTGGAACCTTAATACAATGTTTTTTCTATATTTTAGCAATTAGTATTGATACAAGATGAATGTTTTAATCCGTCACTGATGAACTCAGCTTTAAAGTCCAATTCCAGTTTATCCAATGTTAAGAATTCCTCTTCTAGTACACGTATACCAGAATTATCATCAGTATATTCAACTGGGTCTACAAATTCAAATGTTGTTCCTCCCAATACAATTACATTTTCATCTATGATTCAACAAGCTAATGGACGTCGTCTTGTACAAAATACCTTACATCATACTTGTATACCATCTGTTGTTTTACATTGTTTAGCCTCTTGTATTACAAAAGTACATTGGCCTAAAACAGATAAAAACTGGTCGGATTATTCAACATCAAATGGAATCAGGTATGATTAATTTTCATAGTTTCAAATAGTTGCATATTAGAGTAATGTTAAAAATTTAATTTAATGTCCACTAAGCTCTAGAAAGTTTGGATTCCAGTACTCTTTTATTGCCATTTTGACTACAGTCTAAAAATGTTTAGATGTTTTCATCGGTACCACTCATAGTATTGCTGGTTGGGTGAAGTATGATGTATGCTATTTATGTTGACATATGTAAATTTTATCTAACACCATTCAGAAATGGAATGCTCGCCTAAAAAAGTGTTGGGGATGTTATATCCCCAGAACTCACGTGATAAGTACCTTATTTTTGTAGTTTTATTTTGAAAATTCGGATTTCTTTGTTTTCGCGCCAAAAGTGCTCTTTTCACCTTCATGTCCTATTTCCCAATTGAAAGAATTTTAAACGCTATTGGTCTTTGGTCACAAGTCTTTGTTCCGTTCTCAGACTAAATGAACTGGCAATCGCTTCAAACCTAGCAAGAAGGTTAATAAGATTAGACTGAAAAGGACAGTCATGAGTCGGAATAAAAACAAAATTGGAAGAATCATAAAGAATGTAAAGGACAACTGATGGAAGATGTATAAATGAAGTATTTAATGTATGGTTTTCATAATTTACGAAGACACCGTAATTTTGCAATAAACAATAAATTGGTCTTCCCCACTACAGAAGTACTAGTATTTCGTTTACTCACCATCACTCTATTTTAGTTCTGCCATATATCCTTAATTGCTTTGTAATGTTAGATTAAGTGAGCATACCTGATGGCCATCTATTTAAATAATTTGTTTAGGATGGATTTCAATCAATTAGTCAAGGTTTAAAAATTATTTTATTTAAACACTTAAACATTGGTACGAGGAGGCATGAAATACATAGGCACCACATAAATCATTCGATTTATTTGAGATTTGGGATACTGCCCGGGTGCCCAAACCGAATCAGGTGGGATTTTTAGGGGGCCACACCCGGAGCCTTTGACCTAAAGGTCTGGTCAACAAGGCAGTGGAGCAACTTTAGGAGATGCAGTTCCATGGTTGCCAGTGATCAACAATTGTTTCATACGTCATTTGTTCTCCTGAGATCCTGGAGTCCTTGTGCATCATCACTTTGAAATCAGGGTTTTCCAACTCCCGTTGGTGGACTCTCCGTGTCCACCAACCTGGTTAAAGCCAGTGCTGAACATGTAAAGAAAAAGCATCTCCTGTCTTTATTCACTTTCAACTATATTTATGTTTTTAAATTTATCCTCTTTTTTACACAGAAAACTTCCAACATGTTTACAATTAATACTTGTCAATGATCAATTATCAAATTTGTCGAATTCATTTCAAACTACACAATTACAAACTTTATTAAAACTATTCAATGTAATTCTTCATTTAAAACCATGGTATGGTTATTCTGATCGTATGTCTTTAATGAAATATCATTATTTAGTACAACAAAATTGTCAAACATCAACAGAATTATGTAATACTACTAATAATAGTAATTTATTATGGCCAGTATGTCCAAGTATATTACTATTAGATAATGAATTAACAAGTTATGATTTATTAACTCATTATATCACTGATATCTGGTCAATCGCTTGTAATCAATTACCAAATACATTAAATCATCAATCATTATTTCATATCAATTGTATAACAACATTATGGTGGTCATCTAACTCGACTAAAACTTCTTCATGTATTGAAAAGGATCAATTGAATTTATTCATTGAATTATTATCGATTGGATTATCATCACCATTATCATCATCATCATCATCATCGAATGATAATACACCTAATTATTCAAGTTTTTTCGTAGCTCGTTTAGATTTACATCCATTATGGTATTGTTTTATATTTAAAAGTTTATCTTATTGGGGTTGGTTTATTGGATCATTAATACGTGTTACTATTAAACAAATATGTTCAAGTTTAAATAAACTATGTGATCGTGTTTGTCAGAATATACAAACACGTTGTAATAATAATATTAGGTGAGTTTTATGAAATACTGAATGTTTTCTTGAAGATGGTTTGTGCAAATACTTATCTATGTATATTTGATTAGTTACTAAGTGAATAGCCCATTGTTATGTTTGTTTAGTCGTTTATTGTTGATCGAATTCTATTGATCAAGTTACAATGTGGTCATTAGTTTACGTGAATCGATATTGTGTACATCATATTATGTTTAGATGTTTGTAGATGAATTATAGGATATACTGTACAAGATTGAGTTCTAACTAACATGAAACTTCGCTTTAGAATGTTTTTTAACGACTTTTTTCAATCATCTGACATGCTTATCATTCAAATAGTAAGTCAATGGTTCAAGTATCGTGTGATATACAGGATACAACATGTAAACTGAATGATCATTATCTTAGTGAATTGATTCATACTTACATCCGTGAAATGAACTTGTTTTTTAAATTCATCTATAATAATAATAATCTATACATATCTCAGATCACAAATAAATGAATATGAAACAAGAAGACTATACGGTTGTTCTATACATGACAATTTACCCTTTCTTCCATTAGAATGTAAAATGACGAATGTCAGTAAAGTATATTAGATTGTAATTAATTGAACTAGTTGTGCAGTTACAAAGTGGCAGCTGTTCACTGTAAGATGAATTTATTACCTGAATGTAATCATACATGTTGCACACTTTGGTGCAACCACTATGTATTTTGTTTTTTTTCTCTCTATTCTCATAGAAGATCACGATTATCAAATACAAATGAATGGGAGCTTTTACCACCAGACTATACATTAACTGTATTAGCTTTAATTCAAGGTATTTGTCATGCGTTCCTTCTGTCAGTTGGCAATGCCTCTTTACCGCTTATGTCATCTCGAAAAGTGAATTCATTGCAACAAACTAGTGCATCATTGCGTGGCAGTAATCCACCAACTGTTAGTCAATTAACTGGTCTCCCAGATTCAATAGAAGGTGCTTTAGAAATTGCTGAAATTCTTTATCATCACAAATTGAATCCACCAAATCCAAGTGGACCTATACCAGAAGTTAATAATACTGTACCAGCGTTTGATCCTTTGTTTCCATCGCCTCTTACAGAGAATGTTGACCATTGTCCAAATACGAATAATCCATCTGTGGACAATGTTTCAAATTTGGAACCATCTGTCATTTTGACTTCTGGAATAGGAGATGATAAGGTGGAGACAACAGAAATGTCAGTTCATTCTCCAAGTTCTACTGTAATATTTTTGAATCGTGCAAAAGTTAGTAGAACAGTTACTTCTTTTATCTCATTATTTAGATTACTGTTTGTCGTATTGGTTGTCATTTTCTCAAATGATGTGATGATTTGTTGATTGAGTTTGGATAGTTTGGTTATTTTTTTTGTATAAAACGTATTTGCATTAAGAGTACTTTTGTTCCTCAGTGACAAGAATGCTTTATTTATTTGAACACATAACTATTGGTACAAACGGGCACCAAATACATATGTGCCACATTTGGTTTTTATCTAGGCTATGATACTGCCCGGCTACTTAAACAGAAGCTTTATAGACGATTTGGAAACTTTGATACTTCAATTTTCGCCTTATAAACGGTCATTCAGTTCGAATTGGGTTTTTGAATGTTAAAACTGATGTCCATTATAGAGAAATCAGTTGGCTGATTCGTTTTGCCATTATATATATACAGATTGTAAGAAATGTGTTGGATCCTAAACATTATAATTTACTGCAGCTTAAATCTGAAATCTAAGTATTATTCGTAATGCTTTATGTTTGTTTACATTCAAAGCTGATCAGTTTCTTTTGGTATATATAAACTTTGAACTAATTCTCCAATATTCCTTATAGCTTTATTATTATTATTACTATTTAATTGTGATTATGAACATGATCCAAGACTCATGTTTTGTGATTTAAGAACTTAGCGAATTATGATGTTAACATTTTTGGCTAATGTACAATCTGTCAATATCTTAGTAGGAACCCAGTAAAAAATATACATAAAAATGAAGTGTACGTTGCATATTTTACTACTATTCAACAACAAGTTATTCTTTCAAGATCAATTAGTCGCTTACAACATAGAACCCGGTACTTATCTACATTGATTCAAGTTATCAGACCCTATTAGCACAGATAAATGAAATTGTCAGACCAAATCCCACAACACTAGACGTATCAATGGTAATAGGAACGATTAGGTATCGAAGGTGCGATTCGAGAAGAAAATATAAATTCGTGAAATAAAAAACAAAAGTAGGTTGTGAGGAATTTAGAATCTCAGAATTGAAGGAAAGGGCGTATGTGCCTGTGTCACTGTAAACGATTTTAAGCCATATCATTTAAAATCTAATCATTAGTAGTGATCTATACCGACTAACATGACTCAGTCTAATTGTCGATGAATTCATATACTGGTGTTGTGTTTTGGTTTGACTGTCACTGACTTATTCCAGACTACTCCTACATCAGAAGACGTTACCCGTTGAAGTGAAAGATAGAGGAGTACATGTAATCGATGTCTGAATCACCACAGTTAGTGAAGATTTACTACCTCTTCAATCGATTTCCCATCGTAATCTAGTACTCAAATACTAACCCAATCCACTGCTTAATTTGTGGTCCCAAAACACACGAGCGATGCTTCGAATACACCATTGATCGAATACTACTAACCTACTATTAGTTAGTCTAGGACTGGGTATGCAAACAGAGACTTGTCAATTCAGTATTAAATATATTATTTGTAATAGACTTCAAAGACTGATTTTTATCTAGCCAATCATTGATAAATAGATACTACTGATTAGTCGTTTAATGGTAGTGTGGAACTCGTCATCAGTGCATACTTTTAACTTTATCACGAAATGAAACTATATAACCTTTCATACCAAGTTCATGGTTCTACCAACAATTTGAATACTGTCTACCGATTTGAAGTCAATCAGTTTTTGAACGATCTGTCAATTGAATAATCATAATGTTTTTTTTTAAATTTTACTTTTTCAATTGCTCATTCTGTTCATTATCTACTCACAATTTTTGTTCATCTTATTTTAGAACTCTAAAAATGTCAATATTAAAGATGATGTATTAAATCCTGAATTGCATCCTTTTGTTCAAGCTCAATTGGAGGTATTACGTTTAATGCCTGATATTATTTCAAGTATAGCATTCCTTTGGAATACTGTTAATCAATCACCATTTTGTCAATTACATAAAGGAAACTTCTACAAATCTACTTGTACAATGACTAGTCGTTATCCAGGTGAAAGATATATTCAATAGTTATATTATTTGTTTATTCATTATATATATGTACAATGTGATTGGTTACAACGCTAAGGCATGAGTATGGTTCAATTTTCTTGTTTGAATAAGCGTATTCCAAAACAAACAAAAAAGATAATTAACTGCGTGGGTTAATTGCATATCACCTACTGGACACAGGGGCAAATATTGATTCAATGAATTCGTTTTAGGTTTTCAATAAACAGTTGCATTCCATGTTGTTAAAATTTATAGAAAGCATAACGGTTAGTAGGAATGAGTCTGACCTTCGTATTGAAGAAGAATCAGTAAATCATCTTCAAATGCCTTGGTAATATTTCATTGTAATCAAAATCTGTTAAATTCAACTCACATGTACTCTTTTCTCTTTTTAACTTCCAAGAATATTCTTTCAGATTAATTAGTAAAGTTAACTTTATATTCTAGAACTGATTACCTCAAGTGATTTTTATGAAAAGAACTTTTAAAGCTTCAACTGTTAGCTTCCTTTACATTACTCAGAACTTGTTTTTTATTGTCTGACAATTCAGTCTTCAATATTGTTTCAATAAATGGAACTAATTAAATATATTTAGCTTGTGTGCAGCTAAAAGAAAATCAACCAAACACTATTACCGAAATTATATTCTGAGGTCATCGGCGTTCTTATTTTGTTTCAGTATAGATTGAACTACTGAATATTAGTAAGTAGTATCGTGCTGTAAACACAGAGTGTGGACCTAATAATTGAAGCCAACTAGGAAAGAACTCAGAAGTATGGTATAGTATAACGGAGATAATCTATGCTCCTGTTACCTATATGGATGAATACATCTTAGCTTATCAACTAAACTCATCAGGTGGTCAGATAGAAGTTAACTATCACTGATTATTTCAACCATCATGTGGTATTCTCAAACTTTTCATTCTATTTACTCTTCAGATAAAGAACATTGGTCGTTGTTAAACTCACCTATTCCTTCTGAAAGTTTATCTCCATTAATTAGCCTTGGTTCAGCTACTCTTGTTCGTGGCGCTATTCGTCGACTATTAAAGCCTATCGCAACACAACATCCAGATCTCTTATTGGTAACAACCGCTGTAGCTTGGCCAAATACAACTTTTGATATTGAAACTGGTGGTCTACTTGCTGGATTCGATTCACTAATAAACTATGGCCCATTGGATATGCTTATACCTATAAGAACAAAAAGAGATAATGGTACTTCAGGTAAGTGTTCTTTATGTATGTATATGTAGAATATAATGTATAATTAGTCTCAAATCCATTAGAGGATTTTTTTCTATTCAACGACAGAGTTACACGTGATGATATTCTAAAACTGTAATAATGGATTCGGTGTAAAATACAATACTGCTATGGAAAATTAAGAAAACCTTGATTTGTGTCTTGTACAGGTAATTGTACCCAACTGATAAAGACATAAATTATTGCTCCTAATCATTTTAGAAGGTACTAACTTTATGTTAGAACCAGATAGATAATTATAATCTATGATTGAAATCATTATTCAACATTATACGAAATCAACTAAGCATCTATCAAAATATATATTCATTCTATTGATATTATTTCAATTACGTAATCTCTCTCTTTATATTCATATCAAATATGATAGCTTAGATTGGTATACATTTATACTGGATCGTTTGTTGAATCTATGTCTTTCAGCAGAAAGAGAAAAAAACAATCGATTTTTACGGACTTCAAGCATAGTTACATAATTATATTTGGCATCTTTATGATAGGTCCTGGGTTCGAATACCTCGGGGTGCGGGATCGTGGATGATCACTGCTGAGGAGTCCCATACTAGAAAGAAACAGCCGTCCACTGCTTCTAGGTTTTCCACGGTGGTCTAGCTTCAGTTGACTCATGATTTCAACAATTGAAATCTCCACAAAACCCATTCTGATAATTTATTTATTTATCATTATTGTTTGTTTATTATTTCTACTATCTCTCTGTATTATATTTCATTGATAGAAACAAGCTTTTGAATTATTTACATTTCTTTTCTCTTTCTTTATTTTCTCTCTCTTTTTTTAAGAAATTTACTCCATTCCATTACATCATAAACAATATAGTTTATTAGATTTAATTAGTGGTCAAACTTATGATGATAAACATTATGGTTCTATATTATCATCTGCAATATTAATTAATCATTTACGTGATATTCTACGTCGTCCAATGAATAATTCATTTTTATTACCAATTATTAATACTATTCAATTACAATATAATTTCACTTCATTATCATCATCATTAATGAATTCATATTCACCATTACAAGAAATGAATACATCATTAATAACAAATGGATATAAAGTAATAATTAGTATTGTAAATGATAATTTGTTATTTACATATTTATATCACTTTCCTATTTGAATGAATGTTTATTTAAACATTATAAAAGAAAGCATTAAATAGATATGCACCGCATAGATCATTGGATTTGTGTGAGGGCTGGGATACTGTTTGGGTGCCCAAATCGAAGTGAGTGGTTTTGTTGGGGGGGGGGCACACGCGGAGCCTTTGACCTATAGGTCTGGTCAACTGGCTGGAACAACCATTCCTCAAGGTCCTACCATATCAGACAGGTCAGTTGAAGAGCGGTAAGACTAAAAGCAACAAATCTAAGGTCCAAAGGCGAAGTCGTACTGCTGACTGTACAGAGGTGTGACAGCAGTAAGGTGTTTCCTTCAGACAACCAGCATGACAGCTATGCTGCCTTCCCACAAGGAGGGGTGGGATTAGAAAAGGTCGACCCTAAAAATGTACACCTCGCCTTATCCCAAGGATATGGGTCTCCGGCGCTAAGGTCTCAACAAGTACGGAGCCAGCATAAAAATTACCCATAAAAAGGTCGTGTGTGATCGACCTCAAGCAGTTGTCCTTTGGGCACTGCGGTCACGCTCTCAGGTCACTAAGACCACCTCTAATCCAATTTCCTTTTTTTTTCTCGTATAATATACAATATTCTTGTATTCGATTGATCTAAACTATGCTCTATATGTGATTTGTTATAACTGAGCATTTTTCATATATGTAATTTCATCCTCATTATTAATCAAATTGTATATACAATCAATATATAAATGAGTGTGTTTTTCGACGAAGGTTGTCGTCGTCGTCGTCATCGTTGTGTTTTCGGGTTAATTAATATTCACTTATACTAATCTTTGTGTTCTTACTTTCACGTCGTTGGAACTACAGATGTCCCTTGTTTCGAGTATAAGTGATAAGAGTTTCCGACAGAACATTCAGCGACGACCAAATGTGATAAGTAGCATTCAATGGACAAGAATGAATATTGATTTTCCTTGTTTATTATTATTATTTTTTCTTTATTCTCATTAATTTTTTTTGTTTTTGTTTTCTATTTATTTACCTTTTTTTCATTTAGTCAAATACAAATTCTGGAGTAAATTTAATACGTTTACAAACAAATTTATTACATTTATTTTATGCATGGCTTATTATGAAACCAGAATTTATATCATCTGATTTATTATTAATATTAATACGTGATTTAATTAATTTACCAACAATAATTAATTATAATAATACAAATTTAATGAATATAACAACAACAACATCAACGACAACCAGTACGACTAATACTACTAATACTAATAGTAGTAGTATTACATTGGGTCTTTCACCAGCAGGAATATTCATGCTTATCAAGTATGTTTAATTTATTGTATTAAGTTCTGTTTATTTGTGTGTTTTTTTGTTCCTACTACTTATTTTGTGTTGATAGTGAAGTTGTTAGAAACAAAGATGGATATTGGCTAGCAGTGGACGTGTGTTTCGTTCTATTTAAGACTCGTCAGTTGGATGCATCTGCATCTCAAAGTTGATGTTTACTTTAGGACTCCAATTTAGTACCGATCGCTTCAAATGCCATCGTGTTATCCACTTAGTTACTGAGTGTTCATATCCACTTGCTTATTCAACGGAGTGAGGTATAAATTCACTTGGTATTGTTGTTTAGGACTGCAATTGATTAGTCTCTTATTGGCATATGTGCATCCTGTATTGTTAGTGGCCTACAATAGAATCCAGTTCGACGCGTGTTTCGTTCTATTTGGGACTCGTCAGATAGATGTACCTGTAAACAAGAGACAGTCCTAGATAACAATGGGGAGATACAAGCAAATGACACCAAGTGATCTTTACTCTTTTTTTATGAGATGCTCAGTCAACATCATCTTATCATCTCGGTCTGTTTATTCATAGTTTTACTGTTAACATTATTATTCGAAAATTGCATTCACTTTCATTAAATAGTGTATTTTTGATCTATATTAGTGATACATGAAATATCCTATTATTCAGTCAAAAAACAACATATACCCAACGTTTTAATTTACTACAATACATTAATATTATGAAATGCAATCAATAACCTGAATAGGGAATGGAATCGAATCAGTAATGATTTCTAAGACTTAGTAATAGAGTGAATGTGGAAGATTGGGTTCGATAAAATGTAATGATAAGAGATTTATGCAAAATTACACACTACATTTGTAAAATCTGAAAACAATACATCGAATACACCATTCCCATATGTTCCTTGATGTGTATCTCATAAAATCCATCATTCTTCCATTCCTGTTGCTATACCAAATAATTATATTTCTATTTCTCTTCGGTCTGTAACAATCCTACTTTAATTCTTGATACACACTACTTGTATCTATCCGTATATGTAGCACACACCAAAACATCACTTTTACCGACTATCAGAGATGTTAATTCAACTCTGCAACAATTGATCACGGTTGAACAACAATAATTCAGTTTTTGTTCTTGTCAGTCGCCTACAGAGTGTAGTCTTCAAAAATCGGAATTGAAAAAAATATTGAAACATAGTTTGTAAACACTCAACGAAAACCTAACGAAATAAAAATGAATTCATGTAGTTCTGCTTCAATCTGTTCTTCTTTCTTTTAAAGTCATAAAGGTATATGTGTTTGGAATAAGTAATTTTTCGTAAATTCTAGAATATCCATAAGAATACTTCCTACATTTTCAGCACACTTGAATGTATTTAAAAAATATATTTAAATATTGTTTAAGTTCAATGTCCCTTTAATGTTTTTTGTATTTCGTGTTATACTACTTTTTAATAAACAGTAGTTTAATAAACCCTTAAGCATTTTCTCAGTCTGGTAATTATACCATGCGATAAACGGTTACCACGGCTATGATTCTTTGTTTTTACAATAGTATTTTTAAGTTTCATTTTCATTGAAAATATTTCTTTAAACTTCTAAACCTTGTGGCTACATCGTTTGTTTAAAAAATGTCACTTGTTGTTTGAATCAATCTCTTGATAAAATCATCTTGAATTTTTTCATTCATAGCACCTGTATGTGTAAATGAAATGAGTACTGTTATCGATAAGTGATATTTGTATTGATCCCGTTTTTCTTTTTTTAGAATCTTCAGTAAATTTTTAGAAACAGCTAATTTTAGCGATGATAAACGAGAACAAAAAGAGTTACAGGTATGTTGTCCATACTTCGTTCTTAATTATTATTTAACATTTAATTAAGTAACCTTCCATGCAGATATAAATAAAAATAATATATTTGTAATATCCCAATGAGTAGAAAATTGGATTTTCTGACGTTTCGTGGCTTAGTGTAAGTCACTTCTTCAGAGAATAAATAACCAAATTAAAATTAATCCAAGTTTAAATAGTACAACGGAACAATGCAAGAATAATATTTGATCAATCAAAAAACAGGTCTGAACAAGTTGATGTCATGTCATTTCTGTCAAGGTGATTCATAAGTGATAAGTATGTAAATTTGTGTGTGTATGTATATGTGGATTGTTTAAGAATGAAAACTTGTGTGACCTTTATGGTAAGAAAGGATAGAGTTTAAATTTGTAATATGAAAGTGTAAAATTGTAAATACGATCAGACTGAATGGTTAGGATAGATGGTCCAAGTAGGGTGTATGGTAAGGCCTTCTTTTCTATTGAGAGAAGTAGGATTAAGCATTATGTGGAACGCCTCAGCTACCCTCCTTTCTTTGTAGTTGGAAAAGCCTTTTTGCAATATTTTGATATTTTTAAAATCGATTTGGTGGTTGTTGAAAATGGCATGAACTGCTATTGCCGATTTAATTTGAAGTTGGTTCAATTCTACCGGATTGTTAGGAGGTTTCTTTGTGTACCTAATATGTTCTTTGGCTCTAGTCACGATTTCGCGGGATGACTCTCCAATATAATAGGCATCACAATCGATACAACCTAATTTGTAAACGCAGTTCTGTGTGGACATGAAAGGGATTTTTTCTTTCAGGCGAACTAAAGTATTACGTAGTGTGTTCGTTGTTTTGTAATACACTTTAATTCTGTGGTGTTTTAAGATTCTTTGAATTTCTTCTGTTGTGCCATGACGGTATGGTAGAACTACAGTACCAATCCATGGCATTTCATTCGAAACCTTATTATAATGTAATAAATTGTAATAAATTATATTTTCCTTGAAAAAGCTTGGACCAGATTGCCAGGCGAAACGTTGGATTTACTTAAAATTCATTCGCTGAGATTTTACAAATATATTCTTCTTTTTAATGTCTCAAATTAACTCGGCGCCCAAATATTGTGAAACTATTCGTTCAAATTTAGACGAAAGTTCTTATTTAATAAATTGTTTTGTTTTAATATCCTTCTAATAATCTTCATAGGAAAATTATTAAATTGTAAGGTGCTAATTATATTCATTTGTTCTTTTTGTTTGTCTTCCTCTGATGTGATGATCTTGTTAGCTCTTCTAAAAAGATTTAAGGCTAGCGAGATCTTAGCACTGAAAGGATGTGCTGAATGGAAGTCAATATAACGATTTGAATGCGTCGGCTCTCGGTAAATGGATAAGTTTAGACTTCCATTTGGATTTCTTTTTATTAAGCAATCCAAGAATGGTAGCTCACCATGAGCATTTTCATTTTCATTGGTGAATTTGATTTGCGATGAGAGTGTATTAATTCGTTTTGAAAAAGATCTTAGATGAGTCTTTTTTATAACCACAAATGTATCGTCTACATATCTAAGCCAAATTCGTGGTATAATGTTGTGGGCGAAGATATTTGATTCTATGTATGCCATAAAAGGTTGGCTACAATCGGGGACACGGGGGATCCCATTGCTACTCCGTTAGTTTGTTTGAATAAAATACCGTTAAAAGTAAATAGCGTTGAATTTAAGCAAAGTTTTAATGATTTCATGATTAGACTGATGCTCAACGGACATCTGTCAGGAAGAGTATTGTCGTTCTCAAGTAAACCCTTAATGAATTCTAAGCATTTATCAATGGGAACACTTGTGTATAAAGAAACGACATCAAAGCTTACCATGATTTGATTGATCAAATATTATTCTTGCATTGTTCCGTTGTACTATTTAAACTTGGATTAATTTTAATTTGGTTATTTATTCTCTGAAGAAGTGACTTACACTAAGCCACGAAACGTCAGAAAATCCAATTTTCTACTCATTTGGGATATTACAAATATATTATTTTTATTTATAACAATCAACCCAATGCTCAATTTATTCGAAATTATCAAATCAAACCTTGGTAATGACACCTACTTCCATGCAGATAGTTCGTTGTTTGCTTTACTCACTAATTAACTATCAATTGTTTAGGCGTAATCAACATACATTTTTGATATTTCCCAACTGGTGGTACTGACCACTTCAGACCCTTAGATTATTTATGAAGAACGATCATTTAGTAGTATATATCATTATAAGGCATTGAAACAATGGATTTTGTAAACATATGATTGGTATCAAAGTTCTAGTCACATTTATGAATGTTTTCTTCATTTTTTGGTATTCGAGTTTTAATCTTCGGGCTGATGAGTTTTTAAAATCAAATGAAAGTGATGAAGGCGCTATTTTACTCTTAATTTTTCCGATTAATTTCTTTATTTTCCTATTCAGGAATTATGTCATCGATTACTTGAAACGACAGCTTCTATTGCTGCATCTGCCTTGCATCAACCATCATGGTTTCGTAAGACTTTACAAGTTCGTCAACTCGATGGTGATTTGACCAATTCATTTACATATTCTCAACCTTTAAATTCTATCGATCTAACTGATCGTATATCGCTTTCAGGATCTGATGTTTTTGAGTCTATTAATAAATCTGATCGACTAGGAAATGGATCATCAGATTTAGCAAATTCACATTCTATTGGACAACTTAACAATGCAAGTGATGTATTGAATGATTTAGAGCAATCTTCTGTAAAAGATTTATATGATAAATCAATATCAATACCATTGCCTTCATCATGTTATTCAAAATCACGGCATTGTAAGATAGTAACATTATTTGTTTGTTTGTTTGTATTTAAGTATTGTTTTAATTATTCTAGATTAAATGAAACTGTGATGATAGACAAAACGGTATTCCGCATGTGTGAAATGTATAAAGAAAGAAAATAATCTCACATTTATCATCATTAGTGTTCTCGAATTAGTTGGTAGATGGGATGGACATCATTTAGAGTAACATTTTAGTTAATCTACAGAAGTTATTTAGTATTCAGGTTGAAACTGATTATTCGCTAGTTGATATTTCATTAGTTTAAGTTTTTGCTAGGTTTGAAGCGGTTACGAGTTCACTTAGACTGCGAACGGAACAGAGACTCGGTGACCAAAATCCAATAAGCTAGCTATTCGATGCGTCCCAGCCCCGCTAACTAGAGGAAGAAGTCCAAGCTTGGAATGGGTAAGTATATTCCGCAACCAGGCAGAAAAGAGCGATAACAAAAAACACATCAAAGCATATACATACAGCACAAAACCGTCCTTGGGAAGAGTTACAAAATAGCATACTAAAAGACACAACGGACCAATAGCATTTAAGATTCTCCCAAATGGGAAATACGACATGAAGTTGAAAACAGCACCTTTGGCGCGAAAACAAAGAAGTTCAAATTTTCTAGATAAAATTACAAAATCAAGTCCTTTTCCAATAAACTTCTGAGGATCTAACGTCCCCAACAATTTTAGACTAATCTAAATCGTCTGTAGGTCCTGTTTTCGTAGAAACAATGTTTGAAAACCTGTGCTTATGTGGGCGTAAACGTAATTCATTTCGACTAATATTGCTTCCAATATCCAATGGGGCATGGTAGCCAATGATGAACCTGGAGAAATGAAGTTGGGCCTGTGTCAATCAAAAACACAGTTATTATAACTGATGCCCCACGCTACTTGAAGTAAGCTTTTTAGTTAACAGTTGTTTCGGAAAATCCAAGAGTAAAATGTCGAATTCATGTGTTTTGCTGAGTGCTGAGATAATTTCAACCAAGAATAATCTCCACAGTCTCTAGTTATATCCATCTTTGTTAAAGTTAGACTGATGAAGATCAATTTCCACAGATATTGAAAATTTTACTGATAGAATTGTGTTCTTTATTACAAACACGACAGCACAACCTATGAGTATAGGATGCTTTTTAGTTTGAAAAGTTGGTTGCTTGATAATATGTCAGTTAGTTTTAATATATGAAAGATTTCACAAGTTAAAAAGAAGAGTACATACATACACATGTACGTATAATACTTCTACCTATAATCCATACTCTAAACAGGCAACTCCAAGATATTGTTCTAAGACACATTTTTTAACAGTAACTTGTGTGTACAGTGGTAGTGAACTGTTATAAATTGAACCGCTTAATACGAAATATAAGCATGTTCTGTTGTTTACGACTGAATGACATGTTTCAGTTTAACAGTCAATAAAATCAATGGATTCATTTCGTATTGGCTTTTTCCTAAATATACCCTTAAATCAACCAGTATTGGGCGTCTGAGTATACGGTGACTACATCATGTATAGGTTTTATAGTCTTATCAATCAACTAATCTTTGCTATCTTGAACCCTACTTTTAAATCTGTCGTTGCTCACCACCTGATGCTTCCATTTTTTAGGAAGTAATTTATTGAAGACAACATTTTTTTCAAATGTCACGTATTTTCAGCTTTAATGAAATGTTTTAAACAATAAGAGAAAATTGTGATCCCTATGTTCGTTATCATTTCCATCATCCATAGAATTCCTTCTGCATTGAAATGAATCTGACACACATGACATTGATCACCATCACCCAGTGGTCAATCGATTGTAAATACATCTCAGTCCTACAGGAGGTCAGTCGCGGCCCGGATAGCCCAATGGTAACGTCTGTGACTGTGATACTGGGTGATATGGGTTCGGATCCGTTAGGGAGTGTCAGTTCCCTCGAGATTACAGGTACACCTTGCTGACGAGTGCCAAGTAACACGAAACCTAGGTCTAGGATTCCTGTTCACTACTTCGTACCACCATCTTATCTCAACATAGTGCACGCAATATCGAGTTAATTTGGCTAGTGGACACATTGCAACTTGGTCGATAGGATTCGATGTGCACTGAGAAGGACCTGACACACATGACATTAATCACCACGCGGTGTTTTACGCTGTATCTGTCCATCGGTTGCATATCATACTGAACCCCAATCATTCAAGAAATATGATTGTTTAATAAAATCTTTCAACTTTTCGTAATTTCACTTATCTTTATCCTAAAATTATTGTAAATTTTTCCACGTATTGTCTATTTAATTTATCATTTGAGTCTTTTTCATGCATAAATATTTTTTTTATGGTTTTCCCACAATATTAGCATCTGTGAATTTGTTGTCAAATGAAATAACACGTATCCGAATGCGTAGCGATGTGACAATACAAGCTATTGAGTTGTTAACAGAGGTATTATTTATTTGTTTATTTATTTAAATATATAAACATTGGTACAATAAGGCACCACATAAATCATTCGGTTTGTGTGATGGCTGGGATACTGCCCGGGTGCCCAAACCGATGCTGGTGGTTTTCTTAGGGGGGGGGCGCCACACCCGGAGCCTTTGACCTAAAGGTCTAATCCACAAGGTTTGGAGCAGCGTCAGTCCCATCGTAGCCAGTGACCAATAATTGGTTCATACGCTTATTGTTCCTTCACGATGTTGGAGCCCATGCACATCATTGGTTTGGTGTTGAGGTTTTCCAACTACCCTAGGTGAACTCTTCGTATCCACCAACCCGGTTAAAGCCGGTACCGTACATTCGGTTTTCATCCTCTCAATTTCGTGAAGAACACCCGTGGTGCGATAAGGCAGTGAGTCGGACTTCTCTGTTAACAGATGTAGTTTTGTTTGTGAAATAAGAAACCAATCTTAACCTGTTTTTGTTTTTCCATATCAATCCTATTTATTTTACTTTTATTCATCATCTATATAAATGCGTGTGTGTGTGTGTAAGAGTAAGCAATTTTCAGAATCAGATGTTGTTGGTTTTAATTCCTGATTAAAGAATAACCGTCATACTGTCATACGAATGAAAAAATGGAGCTTTGTGAACAGTCGTTTTAGCAATGTTGTTTAGTTCAAGTCCATTGGTTTAATCATGTAACTTTGTAGTAAAGATCATTTTCATGAATATTGAAAGTAGTCTTCTTTGATTGTAAAGAACGATAATGTGTACACTACGTCTATGAATAATCCACTGTAGAGAACTCAGCACAATTCCAATTCTTTTCTCAAGTCGCGTATCTTCACAATCACTTAACTGATTCTCTAGGTAATATGAGTTACGTGAAATAATTTACGTTTTTCGGATATCTTTGTACAGATTTAAACTCATAAAAGAATGATGTGAAATGCAAGCGAAAATAATCCTACTGACCTACAGTTTATTTCTCATTGTGAATTAACCTGTTACTGAGAAACTATTGGAGTATGAGAGAGCACTAGATTGGTTTTACTTCCAAAACACCTACGATAACTGGACAATAAGTCAAACACAAAGTCGTCAGGTTTTTTTTTTAAAACATATTCACATATTGACAAATAACTTTCATAGTCTATAACTGGAACTCCGCCAATATCTCTTAGATTTGTCCAATATTTTGTTAAACAAGAATAACGAACATTGTAGAATGAAGTGAACTCCTTTCATTCCATTTACTCATTCATACACTCAGTGATTTGTGCAAATCAATGTAATCTTTTACAATTTTAATTCATTATTGTCGCTTCACAAAAAATTATCAAGGAAACCAACTGCATGAAATCGTCCAGTATTGAACGATATGCACTGTCGACTTTCATGTTCCTCGTTCCTGTTACTCGGTTAGGCAAAAGTAACTTTTAGAACCTAACACATATTCACCGGCTCAGTATATGAATGCAAGTTGTATAATATTGAACGCCCTCCATTGGCAAAAATTGAGTTCCAGTTATATACGATGAAAATCTCAGCTAGGTAATTACTATGGTAAAGGAGGACAGTTAGTGTTATCCTTTGAAGACATGTCTTAGTCATATTCAATTTTACTATTTTATGATCTGATTTGAAATTTGCATCATTTCATGGTTGCTTCTTTGTTTTGATTTTTTCCAACCTTTGTGGCGGGGGGTGGGGGTTGGCGCACGTCGGTCTCTTTTAAAACTTACACAGAATATGGCTATATTTTTGGATTTAGTGTATAAAAGTGATGAAAAAGATCGTGTAACAACATTTTTAAACAATATTTTGTGCAATATTTTCCCTTATCTTCGTGTTCGAACGTAAGTTCATTTACATTCTATGTATGATGTAATTATATCATTAATAAGAAGACTTGATTACTTTTATTGAACAAATTGATCGATTGGAAGTACTTTGGTAAATAAAGATATGTATTGTTCTGGTACTGTTTGAATTTAATGTTTATGAAATTGAATTTTCATCATAATCTACACTATTATTCATAGGGAATACAAGTTATTGAATTTTACGCAGGATCCATTTAGGGGAGTTGGAAAACCCTGATTCCAAACCAATGGTGCACATGCGCTTCAGGATCCTAAAGGAAACAAATGGCGTATAAACCTATTGTTAGTCACCAGCTACCATAGGACTGCATCTACTTACGTTGCTCTACTGCCTTGTTGACCAAACCTTTAGGTCAAATGCTCCGGTTGTGGCTCCCTAAGAAAACCACCTGATTCAGTTTGAGCACCCAACCCTCACACAAATCAAGTGACTTGTGTGTCGCATATGTATTCGGTGCCTCTTTGTACCAATATTTTTGTGTTCAAATAAATAACTAAGCAAAGATGACAACAGACTAGTACACTAATTGCTACATACTCCATAAAGTGTGGTTCGACTCACATCTAAAAGTTTTACTGTATGCGAACATCCGTATTCAGTATTATTCGGTTTCTTTTTCAATGATTTCTCGTATAATCATTAAAAGTGAATTACTTGAAGTTCTAGATCCTGTATATATTCATTCAATACTTTTGTTCATAGTATTGTCATTTTCTTCCCATTATCTTCTATTCATCATTACCCTTCCAACATTATACTGGTAATATTTTCCTTCTATTTAAAAACCATTTCTTTTAGATTAAGTAATTCAGATCATTTTACTGTAGCCAGCAAATTAATTGCATCGATTAGTAGTTATCAATATACACGTAAATCATGGCGTCGTGATGTTTTGGATTTATTTTATGAATCAGTATTTTTTCAAATGAGTCCAATTGCTTTACAAAGTTGGAATTTGATCATTGATAATTTAATGACACAAGATAAAAGTACATTTAAAGAAGCATTAGGTATGTGAAGTTTATTTTTCTTTGGGTATATCCGAGATTTCCACACACAAAAAAACACATCGAAAAGATTAATTCTAGTTCTAATACCGACTTCATCCATATTCTTTTGTTTAACATATCATCTATTTTTCACATTTCAGATTTGTGTAGTAAGGACAGAAGGCCTACGGCCTATGTTATTCCTTTTCTATTATGCTTCTGTGAGTGTCCAGTCTTCTCTTGAAAGAGTCAATTGAAGGTGCGGACACCACTGCTTCGGGCAGCAGGTTCCAAGTATTGATGACTCGATGTGAAATCCTGTATACCACGGGTATTTTGTTCGTTACCATTTTGAGGTCTCAGAATCATTTGTTATCAAAACAGCATTATATATATATATCAATTACAGAAAAGCTAATAATTTTCACTTCCTTTTGGAATGAAGAATTTTTTGTTAGAATACTCAAGCATCTTGAAATATGAAGTGCAGATACTTTTTGTAAAAAACATCATACTACTTACAAATTTTAAGTAGTGTAGTCGTACCTACATGATTTTCCTAAAGGGTACTTGGAATATTGTCACAAATTCATTCTATTCATCGCGATCAGAGTAGGATTGTTGTACGTTTGGATTTATAATTCATCTACTTTGTCTCTCTTCTATGTATATTCCCGTTGATAGCAATTAACATGTTATGAATATCTGTCTTCTATTAAAAATATTCTGGTAGTTAGAAATATATCAGTTTTTTAGAGGAATGAATCAACTAATGTTATACATAAATCTGTCATATTTCTTAAACTAAACTGTTATTTTCCTATATCACTAAATTTATGCGCAGAAAGAATTGATTTACGACTGATCGTTCACTGAGGAGTAATTATAAATGTTTGTCTTATCCTTTAGTACTGATATAACGCTATCAGCTGAGTTTCAATGTGACTCGACGTCGAGTTCACTATAATGAGATATTAGATGGTTATAGGTAGTCTGCAGAGAACAGTAAACCTAGTTTTTGTGCACTTTGGTACTTATCAGTAAGGTGTACCTGTCATCTCCAGTTGGTGCTCCTTGTTGGATTCGATACCGAGTTAATCGGCTTCACAGTCAATAACCAAAGGGACCAGACAAGCACGACATCGGTCACTATTCGGTGATCAGTTAATTGCACATATATCAATCCTACAGGAGATCATTCACGACACGCATAGCTCAGTAGTGACGTCTCAGACTTTGAAACTACATGATATGGTGTTTAATCTCCCGAGAGACACCAGTTACTTCAAGATTGAAAGTATACCTCACTGATACATTTTAAATAGCACGAGACCTGTCCAGGGTTTTTTTTGTCGACAACATCTAGCCACTTAGCAGTGAACCAATTTTTTTGTCTATCAAGTAAAAAGTTATAATTTATGGACGAACCAGTTCGATTTGAGGTAACAGGTCTTGTATTTTAGTGTTAAATTCATTTACTGATCCTTACTTCACTTAATATTTATTTTATAACTGAAATAGCAAGTCGGTGAAGGATACAGTATCTATCTTTTCCGAATTTCCTTCCAGCTCGTCTTGTATTCGCTCAACCGGGTGGTTTAAATTTATTTACTAGTAAAGAGAGTGAATATGATCTGCGTGCTGCCTGTTTGAAAAAATTATCTTATCTAGTCTATGCAAGTGAACCGGATCAATACGCGAAAGCAATGCCTGATTTATTAGGTATGTGTATAGTTGTCAGAATGATTTGCCAGTGTTTTTCATTCATTTCCTTCGGCTGTTAATACTTGTGTTAACTAGCTTGTTAATAAGGTAACCTTGAACAATTAACTACACTTCATCCTCTATGTCAGAATATTTTCTACTTATATCATTCATTATAAGCAAAGATGGATAATGGCTAGCAGTGGATGCAGGTACATCCAGCTGACGAGTCCCAAACAGGACGAAACGCGCGTCCTGGATTCCACTACTAGCCACTGTCCATCTCTGCTTATAATGCTTGTAAATTAAGGCAATATCAAGGCACACGCACAGTATGCACATATACCAATAAGAGACTGATCAATTTCAGTCCTAAAAACATCAATGGGAAAATTCAAGTGAAACAATACCAAGTGAATTATATCACTCATTGTATTACTATTATTACACTGTCAGAATTACAACTATCAAATTAGTTCACTATTCTCTTCATTTCATTATTTTAGCAAAAATCACACCCTTATCTTTAATCATGCATGATGTGTCCTTGACCTTTTGACCTATATTTTGCAAGTCGGTCTGGTGTTCAGTTTATATTATCTATAAGCATGAAAAATTCCGTTTTAGCAAGATTTAATCTGGTTATCGTTTTCTTTTTTAACAAGATTTGTTTCTACGGCATGGGGTTACCGACCCCATACGCAACCCGCCTGCTTTACCCGGGCTTGAGACCGGCAGTAACTCTAGAAGAGCTACAGGCGGAGTAATGACAATTACACTCAATGAATTATTCGTACTGCCCATAATGCATACAAACGAACTAACAAACTTTCTGATCACGTTAACCATTCCATATGAATACAGCTTTTGGGAAATAAATCAAGTTTTTACTTTTGAAATGTGAACACTATGTGATTAAGTATTCATAATCACTAGTACAATGCAAGATATCCATTTCAATATATTTGAAACTTATAGGATTAATATACCATCATCTGTTTGTGTATTTCTGTTGAACATGACAACTTAGTCATCGGATTGTTATAATTTAATAGTCATGAGTCAATTGAAGCTAGACCACTATGGAAAAGCTGGAAGCACTAGACGACCGTTTCATCCTACTTTGGGACTCCTCAGCGGTGCGCATCCACGATCCTGCCTCGCGACATTTGAACCCAGAATCTATCGGTTTCGCGCGCGAATGCTTAACCTCTAAATCACTGAACCGGCCGGTATCCAATGTTGTTAATGTCTGACTTCAACTAATCCACGAGATTGAGCGACACATCCACCACTCGTAGGTCCTGGGTCCGAATCTCGCAAGGCAGAATCTTGAATGCGCACTGCTGAAGAGTCCCACAGTAGGACGAAATGATCGTTCAATGTTTCCAGCTTTTCCATGGTGGTCTAGCCTCAAATGAATCATAATCTCAACTATTTAAATTACTATAATATCCACAAAACCCCTTCTGATATTGTTATATAAAAGTCAGCGGTGATAAATTAGTCAATTGTGTAGTGTGAATTACTGTCTGGAATATGAAAAGTTATTTTATTGTACATAAAGTTCACATTTCATTGTTTCTTTTTAAGAAAATCTGACTACAGTTTTGTTAAATAATGATTGGTCAAAAAAATCTGCTTGGCGTCTTCAATACTTCTGTTTTCCAATGATAATTTGTACGGGAACCCCGTCAAAAGTGACTGCTACATTATTCATTGTATCAACTAGATAATTCATTTTTTTATAATCTATTGTTTGTCTGATCGTTATATTATTTCCTTCTTTTTCTACAGAACGTCTTGCTGAATGTCTACGTTTAGGTCAAGGTATAATTCCAGTGGTTCATACTCAAGTGTTTTTATTTGCTCGTGTCTTAATATCTCGTATGTCAGCTATACAATTGAATTCTTTATGGCCTATAGTTGTACCAGAATTGGTCAGTTTAGTAAATTTGCTTTTGTTTTTCTGCCTAATTTTTTCTCGTTTTCATGAATGAATCTTTTCTTGAACTTCTTGACTCTTGTCAGTTAATGATTACTTACTTACTTACGCCTGTTACTCCTGATGGAGCATAGGCCGCCGACCAGGGTATTAGGGAATGATAGTAAGTCGATCGATGAGGTTGTAAATTGTTGTAACGGGTAACTGCAGGTTTTGATGAGCAGCGTATTTATCGATCGATTACAGTGACACGTAAAACACGTAAGGACGACCTAGTGTCCCGATTGGTCCCGCTTCCCTGTCTAACCCAGCCAGTTGAGTCTAGAACGCAAGTCACAGCTTCTGAGTTATGAATCATTATATTTCAGACATACTCTATTTATATACCAAACAAACAAACCACATCGTACCATAAAATAGAAAACAACATTTACACAATATTTAACGAGTGAAATAAATAATGGCCAATAGGGAATGCCCATTTAGAGTCCAAGGACATCATTAGACTTAACATGATAATGATTGGTATATTCCTCAGCATACCTAACATAAATGTTCATCGACGGAGATCATCGGGCCACGTGTTACGTATGCCTGAACACCGATTACCACGACGCGCAAGGTTGACTAGTGTTGGAGATGGTTGGAAGAAAGTTTATGGTCCACGTGACTATCGTAACCAATGGCTGGAAACTGCGGGTGACATGGCTCAGAATCGATCACAATGGCGTAACTGTACACACTCTCTGTCTTCCCTTAAACCGTGAAACTGAAATCGATTTATATTTTTCTTCCTGTACTGTATCCTTACATGCAATCTTTCTTTTATATATTACTATCATTGAAATAACTACTTCCATGAATTTGGTGTTCATCTTATTGTGCTAATGAGGTTTACCAACTTGGACCGATGCATATATGTGTCTGGTCCTATGTTGTAGCTGACTGACTGACTTAATTAGAACCTGTATTTGTCACATATGTATACATGATTTGTTTAGTATAGGTAGATAGATATCTTTAAAGAACCTAATCAGCTACTTATAAAATTTAAATCTTCACTGATATTTCGATGACAATGGTTATAAAATGATTTTGATTATGATATTCAAACTACCTAAGGAAAGTACTTCATCCCCGTAATTAATATGTCTACAACGAGTCAAATGCTAAAAGTTACCTTTATTTGTATAATACTATGTTCCCGTTTACACGTTGATCAGGCGACTAAATTACAAGGTGACTTGTATTTCATACGTTTTTATTCGAATTACTCAGCGATATTGTATGTATCATACAACTTTCATATTGGATATTCTCAACATTATTTATTATCAGAAGAGGTTTTTTTTGTGGAGGAGTTCCACAGTAGGGCAAAACAACTGTCTAGTGCTTTCAGGTTTTACATCGTAGTCTAGGTTCAATTAATTTATGATCTCAACGATTAAAATTATTCATTATGTTAAGTAGATCATCTTATGTTCATACTTTAAGAGGCCCGACACAATATTTTCTTAGGAATTAGACAATGATCACTGATTTCTCTCACTTTAATCACTTTTCAATTGTTATAATGTTCTCTTTTATACTATAAATTATTTTCTTTAATTTATTGTATAGTTCCTCACATTCAAATCCCTGTCTCAAGCAATTCAAGAATGGTGAGTTCCCTTCTTGTGAATTTATTCTTTAGTATGGAATGAACTTTCTAATTGAAACATATGTGCACATTTCATAACTAATGGTTATCTATTATATATATATATATATATATATATATATATATATGGCATTAAACCTTCCACAATTTCGCCATGACTTTCGGCTACAATGTTTTGTTAGAATTCGTTTACTTCCTTTCTAACTTATCGATGTATTCCATTCATCGGTTTATGAATGGTTTAACTCGACCATTTTGACCTTTCAAATGGAATCTATATTCATGTGTGTTCTATGAAATCAGTAGGTTATTTTAAATTGTGTGTTTGAAATGCGCATGCAGTGTATACTTGCCAAAAGGAAAAACTTATATCTGTCCCTCTCAAATGTCCACCTCTTGCATCTTTTCTTGATTTCCTCTTCAGCTGGAAGCTGACTTGTTCTCTGCCACAGTAGGTTGTTGGTGATGGTGTTCAGTCAACGAACAACGAGTATAGTGTGCAGACAACTATTCATAAATACATGTACATTTTTGATGGTAGTTGTAGTAGTTTCCCAACTTTCAGCCCCGTACAATGGAACTGTCTGAACGTTTGTACTCAAAATTTCGACTTTGATGTCGACTGACAGTTTTCTCAAGTTCCGTATCTGTTTAACTGTAGGAATTCTGCCCTTGATTTGCTAGTTCGCTTCTTCACGTTTGAACCAGAGTGACCATTATCATAGTTACAAGGGACGTAATAATTTTCAGCCTAGTTGTTCCTTATCATCCTGGACATGTTTTCTCAATGTTATCGTGATAATTTGAAATTGTCATTTGTTAACAAGTTCCGTCTCTTTTTTTCTACATTTTTAGCGTTTCTAAAATTCAATCAAGGAAAGCCAAACTTGATGCCTCCACGTCGTCGTCATCATCATCATCATTTCTGTCTACTTCACAAATGAATTTGTATATTAGTGCATGTAAATTGTTAGCTACAAGTTTATTATATCCAGAATATAGACTGCCACAATTTTCCTAGTAAGCAATAATGTATATTTAACGAATGTGATTCCTGAAATTTCTACAAAAAATAATAATGTTTTAGCGAATTGTGGGATTCAATCCATTGATACCCAAATCCATAGCAGAACAGTCCTAATAATGTATAACGTAATGATACCGCCAATTAGAGAACAGTGAATTATCGACCGGACCAATGACGCATAAAACCCGTGCGAGCAGTCTGGAGTACTTATCGGTCCTGCTTACTGCCTAGCCCAGCCAGTTAAGCCAGAACACCAATCTCAGCCTCTGCGATATGAATCATGTATTTCAAACACAATGGGTTTATATACCAACCAAACCAAACCACATCGTACCAATAGGATAGGAAACAACATTTGTACAAGATTTAGCCAAAAGTGGCTGTGAATGTAGGTAATTAGGCATAACTCAAGACTGGTAAATTGTATAATATTCTATGGGTCAAAATAAAGCCTATAATAAGAGGAACACAAATATGCATAGTTTAGTTACTTAACAATTATACAATAAAAATATACGTATAGTATTAGTCCATAAATGGATCCCAACAGTTACCATCCATTATTCACATCGGGAATATAACAGCTTTTTTTACCGGTGATACATGTAATCATCCCTGGGCATAGTACACATTGTACTGTGAATTTATTAGCCTATACATTTTAAGTAATATCATATAATCTTGATAATATTACACATTTGAACATTTTAATATGTCCATCTTATTTTGTGAATGTTGTAACCGGTGGTTTGCAGGTTAGATGCGCAGCGTATTTATCGATCGACTCGGTGACACGTAAACACGTACGAACGGTCTAGAGTCCCGATTGGCCCTTCTTCGTTGTCTATCCCAGCCAGTTGAGTCCAGAACGCAAGTCTTAGCCTCTGATATATGAATCATTATACTTCAGACATACTCTATTTATATACCAAACAAACAAACCACATCGTACCATAAAATAGAAAATAACATTGTACAATATTGACCAGTAGGAAAACAACATGTGAAATAAATAATGACCAATAAGAAAAATGATACCATCTCAAGTCCAAGGATAGCGTTAGACTTAACGGAATAATTTTTGGGATATTTTCCTGAATATCCCAACAGAGAAACACTTATTATCGGCATACATCAATACACATCATCATCATTATCCTCATCTTAAAGACACTATCCATTTGCTGTGGAAATTTCTTTAACCTTAAAAATGATTATGGAGGACTATGACTATTTCGACGAAAATAAAATTGCTCTGAAAAACATGAGAACAGTTTTTCCATAGTAATCAATTAGATTGACCATTGATCAGCTCCAAGTCCTTATCGGAACTCTCTGTAGCGGCCATTCTCTCTATGTATATATATAATAATAAAATCACCCTTTTAGTGTTACGAAGTTCTGTTCACTTGATCTTCTTCTCTCTTAAATCTCAGTTATCAATGGGCATTTGTCAAAGATATAACATTTGATAATTTAACTAACCAAGAAGAAATGACAAATGTCGCCACAGTGAATAACAATCGAAGAATATCGTTTCTTCCGTTCCTTTCCGATGTTCTAACACAAATTGAAGTAAGTTTTATTAAAATCGCTACATTATCATTTGTAATTGAAAGTGTTGTGATAAGCGTCAGTTATTTGAAACACAGGTACAATTTATAAGCAAAGATGGATAGTGGCTATCAGGGAATCCAGAACGCGGATTTAATCTTATTTGGAACTTGTCATCTAGATGTGGATAACGCGATAGCGTTTGAAGCGAACAGTACTGGGTTCGAGTCCCGGGGTGAACATCAACTCTGAGATGCGGGTATATCCACCTGACAAGTCCCAAATAGGTTGAACCCCGCGTCCTGGATTCCTTGCTAACCACTATCCATCTTTGCTTATAATGCTTGTGAATTGAGGCAATACGCACAGTATGTGCATATGCCAATAAGAGACTGATCAATTGCAGTGCTAAAGAATAATAGGAAGATTCAAATAAACAATACCAAGTACAAGTATAATTTGTTTGTAAATAAATCTGTTCTTATTTTTTTAAAAGCCTGATATACAAGTTTTCGTAGGTTCGCTCGTTGATAGTATCATCGATACACACTAAGAAGGAATCTTCATGCAACACGAAACATCTATTCACTGAACTCTCATTTTTAGTGATTATCCAAATAAAGTCAGTTCATAACAAAAATAAGTGTTCCCAAACTTCGTTTCTTAATAGTAATAGTATTGTTAGAGTGGACGAATCTATACGAGTATAATTTTACTCAAAAGTCAGAGTAATTACATACTATCCCAATGATAAGTGACAAAACAAGAGGAGTAGATATGCTATTGTAATTCAGCGAATCATTCACCTAACCAAGGTCACCATCATGTATGATTTATGCACAGAACTATTTGGTTTCAAAAGTAAAGCTTCCTATGCATTCTAGTCACCTACCGTCACATAATTGATTGGGTCAAGCGTTAGGAAACAATCTATGTATGACTGAATCTCACTCTCATGTCATAATGAATATTTAATTGTATATCCCAATGTAAGTAAGAATGAAAGTGTGTATCCGTCTGTAATAATAATCATGATTTTAAAACTTATCAGCAATATCTTGATTCGATTGTGTAATAATAAGATGATGATGACCAGGACCAGGACTATGTGATGATATATATTAGTGGAATACATTTCGAACAATCTGATTACACATCATATACTTTTTAAGATCATTTATGTGTAAAAATAAAAGGTCAACTTGACTAGAAATGAGACAAGGATAATAAAGAAATAATGCGAAAACAGTTTTAAACCTAATCACTTCTGGATAATAGGCTAATATCATTAAAATAGGTTTATAGTGAGAACAAACTGTTTTTAAGTACGCAAGGGGCGTCTGAATTTTCGTATGACTAAGGCTTCAATAAACCTTAGTATACGCCCCTTTTTCACTTTTGCACAACACCACAAAAGCCAAGTTGAGTTCGCTACTTGATTAATGTAGAATACGGTTATGACTACGACACTCGAACGTTGAAACTTAACCGTCGCAAGTCAGACGACAGAAAAAAAGCTGAAGAAGTGTTTATTTGATAAGAATCCAAATGTATAGAAAATCACTGGTATTTATAGATATTAGCATTTGTGAAATCAACATTATAATTTGGCCAATCCGTAAAGAGACATATTATGGTACTGTCCAATAGTAGCATGTTACATTGATATTCTAGAAAGCTCTCTCATGTTTTAACTGGATAGAAACTCTTCGGCTCCTTTAGGGCCTCTGGAGGCTCCATTGTAGTTCTCGGAAGCCGACTCAACAAAAGGTATATCACATAGTTCTAATCATTTTCGTCTTCTTATTACACTATCGGAATTTATCAAATGGATTGATTGTTTTAAATATTTGGGTTTCTTTTAGGTTTTATATTTTCGATGTTCATTTGCATTTTTATACTTTTCTTGTGTGTGAAACATTTTATATACCATAGAAATTACAAGAAGTTGACATATCGAATGGTATTGATATAACATCTATGGAAAATTCATCTACTTTATATCAAAGTTGTTTCAGTATTTTGGCTTTAGATAAACTTGTCAACATTTATACACTGAAACCATTCTTTGAAAGGTAAACTCAATTTGACATCATTTTACTTTGCTTTTTACTATGTAAACGTAAAAAAAGGATATACAATTGAATATTATTTACTTTAAATAAGATAGTTTTCGAGTCTTACTCTAATATATTACTTACTTATGCCTATTACCTGTCATGAAGGAGCATAGGCTGCTGACCAGCATTCTCTATCCATCTCTGTCCTGGACAATTCTTTCCAGATGCTATTCATCCTTTTCATGTCTGCTTATAACTCTCGACGTAGTGTGTTCTTCGATTTTCCTCTTTTCCATTTCCCCTCATGATTCCAAGTTAGCGCTTGCTTCATGATGCAGTTTGATGATTTCCTCAATGTATGTCCTATCCACATCCATCGTCTTTTTCTAATTTCCTCTTCAAATGGAAGTTGGTTTGTTCTCTCCCATAATAGGCTGTTGCTGGTGATAATCCGACCAATAAACATAAATACTTGTACTTTTTTATTATGGTTGTAGTTGTTCTCCAAGATTCAGCTCCGTACAGTAGGACTGTGCTGACTTTCGTATTGAAGATTGTGACTTTGATATTGGTTAACAGTTGTGTTGAGTTTCAAATGTTCTTCAACCCTAGGAATTCTGTCTTTGCTTTTCCGGTCCTGGCCTTTACGTCTTCATCGATGGTGCTTTCCACGTGCATGAAGGATTCCATATTTTCCAGAGTCTCTCCATTAAATCTGATCGAGGAGGTCTTCTCTGTGTTGTACTTGAGGATCTTGCTTTTTTCTTTGTGTATGTTGAGGCATGCTCATACAGAGGCTGCTGCTACACTAGTCGTCACCTGCATTTGTCCGTGTGTATGGTATAGAAGGGCGAGGTCATCTGCGTAGTCTAGTTGTACAACAATCTCCACAACCCTATTCTAAAAAAGAATTCTATCGAAGAAATCAGAAAACTGAGAGGTTGAATTTAGAAAGCTAGTTCTTAACACTTGTTGATAACGTGTTTTAACATTGAATAAAACAGCGTATATACATCTTTATGTTCCTTGTGAAGTTTATTTTGATCTTCGTCGAACTCGTCTCTGACACCAAGTAGACACCATAAAAAAGGCAAGTTCATATAACTTAATCTTTGTATTGAAAAAAACTTTATATGGGTTTTATACTTTCCATGACTAAAGAAAACCTAATACACAATCTAGTTCTAGGAGATAGTTCTTGGAGGATATGGCGAGAAGCCGTGACCAGTGCACTTCAACCTTGTCTGTTATGTTTTATTTCACTGGATTATACTCCTTGAATAACATCTTCAAACCCTAGTCTTTCCGATTACTGCTTATACTCTTACTACATCTACGACTACGGGATTTGAATCAACAACTACATCTCTGTGCTAATGTTGTATGGCAACTCGAACTGGTGTGTGTACGTACGAAGTTCTACGTTGTTACTGACTGACCGCCTGTTATGAGGCACTTATGCACTGAAGACAGTTAAAGTTGGTCGCTCAATGTCGTGGATTGGTTAGATTTAGGAATTGACTCTGTCAGACACCGGCTTGGTGGTCTAGAGATCAAGCATTCGCGCGCGGGTCTGAAGTTCTTAGGTTTGAGTCCCGTGTATGGTATCGTGGATGCGCACTGCTGAGCAATCCCATACTCGGATGAGATGGCCGACTAGTGCTCCCAGGTTTCCGACCGTGGCCTAACATTGACCGGTGCATGATTTCAATTCTTTGTGTTTAGAAGAGTTACTAATGACGATAATGATAATAAAGTAACTACATTATCTGTTAGTTTGTATTTGATATTTCAATAATTTCACTATTCTATGTTTATCTTTTAGTTTACATAACAGTTCAAATGTTGATTCATTACGAAATTCATTCAATGATATCCCAGTACTTGATGGCTTCCTTCTTGAACTAGCTATAGAAGCATCTTTAGCTCAAGACTTTCCTGAAACTATTGCATCTAGATAATAATAATAATATCTATTTAAATCTTGATTATTACAATTATCATACTTATTACACAGATTTACACTACCTCTTATCTAACCAATGAAAATTTAAGAAACAACTTTGAATATTTATGTTCCTTGGTCTATTGAAATCACATAATCGAACTTGTGCACCTATTGTCTTTCTAACCTTCTCACTTTCTTTATGGTTTCTTTCTTCGTTTTGTACACAAACATCTTAAAATTTAGGAAATTTTATTATTCAATATGTTGTTGTTTTTGTTTATTTGTTTGTTTGTTTGTCCTATTGATTCATCTAAACACTTTACGTAATCTAAACCCATCATTAAGGCTGTGGCTTTCTCTATTTCTCATCTTAGTTGTCGATTTTCTTTTCTCCATACTACTACTATTACTAGTACCAATACTACTACTAATACTACTACTGCTACCACAACCACTCATACTACTACTTTATAATAAATTACCCATATATATGCTTGTAAGACACCAATTTCCAAAGAATATGAAAGATGCAAAGATATCATCATTCCTAAATCATCAAACAAATGTGATACATAAATGATCCTATTTCTTTCCATTCAACATTATTGTTTCATTTCAATGTTTATGTATTTGTTTCTATGTGAATATATTATTAAAGTATATGATGATTATGTTCTATTGTAAAGGGATTATATTTCTTATGAAGGCAATGCTTTATTCAATACAGATGAGCATGCTGTTATCCCGATCATAAAATTAATACAATACATTACAAAATAAGATAAAAGAAATCAATCGAATGAGATCTAAAACAAACTAAGTAAACCAAAAAAACAACATTCCAAAATTTAGGAATAACAAAACTGAATTTATACATTTGAAAACAAAAATCGACAAAAGCATGTCACACATAAAGGCACCAATATACAATGCTTTGAATCACATAATGGTATGCAGATGAAGGTGACAGAGAACGTGGACAGAGAGATGGAGATCAATACGGAAGTGACGTGAACAAGTTTTGATGTACTTCTTGATATGACCCGAGTTCGACTGACGGAGGAGCCTCATCCTATCAGGTGTCTTTAAACTACCACTGACCACTGACCACGTGAAACACTTCAAGATGCATTCCTCCGACCACATCACACCACTCACACTCGACCAGTGCACACAGCTACTTCTCAGTCGGCACGTTTGTCGAGCCGTTTCGTCTGACCGGAATAGTGGTTGTGGTGTCTGTGAGACGATCGAATGGCACACCACCTAGACACAGTGTATCGAGTCAGATGTTGATGCTGTTCTGGATAGTTTGTTGTATTGGATGACATAGATGGACGCTTCAGCGATGTCAATGTGCCCGTGCAAGTGTGTTCGTGGACGTGTGAGTTGGATAGAGGGAATGTGAGAGAGTGAGTGAATCAGGAAGACAGGAATTCTGTTGGGCGATTGAGATGTTTGTCTGACTGTCGGTCTGCTCCACGCGCATGCACGTGGATGTGAGGAAGAGTGATTGGTTCAGTTTTGTTGTGTGTGTAGATGTAGGTGACGGCGAATGTGAAGGACAAGATGAAGATGAAGATGAAGATGAATATGGAAATGGCGTGTTGTAGTGTTGATGATGTAGTAGTAGTTGTGGATCCTGGTAGTGGAATGTATAATTGTGTGAGGAATTGTTGTTGAAATATTGTCGGTGTGATGTAGGTATGATGAGAATGTGTGGTGTGGTGTGTGTGGTTGCGTCGCGAACGTGGCCTCGTGGTGTAGCGTTTATCACTCTGGACTCTGAATCCAGCGACCCGAGTTCGAGTCTCGGCGAGGCCTAGTGCTAGTGCCTAGAGCACTTTTGAATTTATCACTCTCCATGTGCATCACTTCGCAACTACCCTTCGATCACGTCGTCCCAATCACACTTCACCATTGCACTCAACACCACTCCTCAGTCTGATCAATCACCTGGTCAATCAACAGGCTGAACGGCAAACTGTGATTCACAAACTACTATGTCGTCTGTGTTCGACCGATTGCGGTCACACACCCACCACTACGTACGCGTGTCCCAATTACACATGTCCAGGAGGCTACCACATATGCACACAGATTCCTCCTACTCCACACTTCTGCACCTGCATGTGATTACGCATATGTGTGATTGAGCCATTGTATTTCACAGACTGTTCCAGTATTGATGCTTGTGTGTGCGTGTGTGTGACATTGCGTGTGTGTGACATTGCGTGAGCGAGCTAGCAAGTGAGTGAGTGAGTGAGTGAGCACGTGTGTATGTGATTGCACTGTTGGCGTGCACTGTGGGATATTTTGTGTGAGTGAAACGATGTTGTTGATGGCATGTCGTGTCGTTTGTATGTGTGGTGTGAATGTGTGATGTTATGTATGCGGTGAGCGTGCATCTACTGTCTGGTGGTGTGGCGGTTGCCACTGTCACCTGCGAATCCAGTGACCCGAGTTCGAGTGACGGAGGAGCCTCATCCTATCAGGTGTCTTTAAACTACCACTGACCACTGACCACGTGAAACACTTCAAGATGCATTCCTCCGACCACATCACACCACTCACACTCGACCAGTGCACACAGCTACTTCTCAGTCGGCACGTTTGTCGAGCCGTTTCGTCTGACCGGAATAGTGGTTGTGGTGTCTGTGAGACGATCGAATGGCACACCACCTAGACACAGTGTATCGAGTCAGATGTTGATGCTGTTCTGGATAGTTTGTTGTATTGGATGACATAGATGGACGCTTCAGCGATGTCAATGTGCCCGTGCAAGTGTGTTCGTGGACGTGTGAGTTGGATAGAGGGTATGTGAGAGAGTGAGTGAATCAGGAAGACAGGAATTCTGTTGGGCGATTGAGGTGTTTGTCTGACTGTCGGTCTGCTCCACGCGCATGCACGTGGATGTGAGGAAGAGTGATTGGTTCAGTTTTGTTGTGTGTGTAGATGTAGGTGACGGCGAATGTGAAGGACAAGATGAAGATGAAGATGAAGATGAAGATGAAGATGAATATGGAAATGGCGTGTTGTAGTGTTGATGATGTAGTAGTAGTTGTGGATCCTGGTAGTGGAATGTATAATTGTGTGAGGAATTGTTGTTGAAATATTGTCGGTGTGATGTAGGTATGATGAGAATGTGTGGTGTGGTGTGTGTGGTTGCGTCGCGAACGTGGCCTCGTGGTGTAGCGGTTATCACTCTGGACTCTGAATCCAGCGACCCGAGTTCGAGTCTCGGCGAGGCCTAGTGCTAGTGCCTAGAGCACTTTTGAATTTATCACTCTCCATGTGCATCACTTCGCAACTACCCTTCGATCACGTCGTCCCAATCACACTTCACCATTGCACTCAACACCACTCCTCATTCTGATCAATCACCTGGTCAATCAACAGGCTGAACGGCAAACTGTGATTCACAAACTAATATGTCGTCTGTGTTCGACCGATTGCGGTCACACACCCACCACTACGTACGCGTGTCCCAATTACACATGTCCAGGAGGCTACCACATATGCACACAGATTCCTCCTACTCCACACTTCTGCACCTGCATGTGATTACGCATATGTGTAATTGAGCCATTGTATTTCACAGACTGTTCCAGTATTGATGCTTGTGTGTGCGTGTGTGTGACATTGCGTGTGTGTGACATTGCGTGAGCGAGCTAGCAAGTGAGTGAGTGAGTGAGTGAGCACGTGTGTATGTGATTGCACTGTTGGCGTGCACTGTGGGATATTTTGTGTGAGTGAAACGATGTTGTTGATGGCATGTCGTGTCGTTTGTATGTGTGGTGTGAATGTGTGATGTTATGTATGCGGTGAGCGTGCATCTACTGTCTGGTGGTGTGGCGGTTGCCACTGTCACCTGCGAATCCAGTGACCCGAGTTCGAGTGACGGAGGAGCCTCATCCTATCAGGTGTCTTTAAACTACCACTGACCACTGACCACGTGAAACACTTCAAGATGCATTCCTCCGACCACATCACACCACTCACACTCGACCAGTGCACACAGCTACTTCTCAGTCGGCACGTTTGTCGAGCCGTTTCGTCTGACCGGAATAGTGGTTGTGGTGTCTGTGAGACGATCGAATGGCACACCACCTAGACACAGTGTATCGAGTCAGATGTTGATGCTGTTCTGGATAGTTTGTTGTATTGGATGACATAGATGGACGCTTCAGCGATGTCAATGTGCCCGTGCAAGTGTGTTCGTGGACGTGTGAGTTGGATAGAGGGTATGTGAGAGAGTGAGTGAATCAGGAAGACAGGAATTCTGTTGGGCGATTGAGGTGTTTGTCTGACTGTCGGTCTGCTCCACGCGCATGCACGTGGATGTGAGGAAGAGTGATTGGTTCAGTTTTGTTGTGTGTGTAGATGTAGGTGACGGCGAATGTGAAGGACAAGATGAAGATGAAGATGAAGATGAAGATGAAGATGAATATGGAAATGGCGTGTTGTAGTGTTGATGATGTAGTAGTAGTTGTGGATCCTGGTAGTGGAATGTATAATTGTGTGAGGAATTGTTGTTGAAATATTGTCGGTGTGATGTAGGTATGATGAGAATGTGTGGTGTGGTGTGTGTGGTTGCGTCGCGAACGTGGCCTCGTGGTGTAGCGGTTATCACTCTGGACTCTGAATCCAGCGACCCGAGTTCGAGTCTCGGCGAGGCCTAGTGCTAGTGCCTAGAGCACTTTTGAATTTATCACTCTCCATGTGCATCACTTCGCAACTACCCTTCGATCACGTCGTCCCAATCACACTTCACCATTGCACTCAACACCACTCCTCAGTCTGATCAATCACCTGGTCAATCAACAGGCTGAACGGCAAACTGTGATTCACAAACTACTATGTCGTCTGTGTTCGACCGATTGCGGTCACACACCCACCACTACGTACGCGTGTCCCAATTACACATGTCCAGGAGGCTACCACATATGCACACAGATTCCTCCTACTCCACACTTCTGCACCTGCATGTGATTACGCATATGTGTAATTGAGCCATTGTATTTCACAGACTGTTCCAGTATTGATGCTTGTGTGTGCGTGTGTGTGACATTGCGTGTGTGTGACATTGCGTGAGCGAGCTAGCAAGTGAGTGAGTGAGTGAGTGAGCACGTGTGTATGTGATTGCACTGTTGGCGTGCACTGTGGGATATTTTGTGTGAGTGAAACGATGTTGTTGATGGCATGTCGTGTCGTTTGTATGTGTGGTGTGAATGTGTGATGTTATGTATGCGGTGAGCGTGCATCTACTGTCTGGTGGTGTGGCGGTTGCCACTGTCACCTGCGAATCCAGTGACCCGAGTTCGAGTGACGGAGGAGCCTCATCCTATCAGGTGTCTTTAAACTACCACTGACCACTGACCACGTGAAACACTTCAAGATGCATTCCTCCGACCACATCACACCACTCACACTCGACCAGTGCACACAGCTACTTCTCAGTCGGCACGTTTGTCGAGCCGTTTCGTCTGACCGGAATAGTGGTTGTGGTGTCTGTGAGACGATCGAATGGCACACCACCTAGACACAGTGTATCGAGTCAGATGTTGATGCTGTTCTGGATAGTTTGTTGTATTGGATGACATAGATGGACGCTTCAGCGATGTCAATGTGCCCGTGCAAGTGTGTTCGTGGACGTGTGAGTTGG